AACGCCAATCAACTACGCGAGGTTCTAAAAGAACAGAAGTACCCAGAAAAAAATATTATAAATGACGCAATTTGTAACGTGCGCGCCCTCGATCGCGGCATCTTATATATATATCAGGGTGTCGAACCGGAACCGAACTGAACCGAAAACCGGAACCGAACCGGTATTTTTTCCGGAATTGAACCCGAACCCGAACCGTTATATTGTTATCGCGATGAACCCGAACCGGAACTGAACCAGAAAAAAAATAACGGTTACCGGCTCATGTCAAAACGGTTCGGCCACGCGCTGTTGACAATGAATATGCTATCAATGCCATTTGTTTTTTAAGTGCCGTCAACTGACACACACCTCGCTTACATATTTTTCTTCTCCACTCAGTCTTAGGAATATAAACGCTGTATCCATGAATCTTGACAAACGCTGCATCCATGAATCTTGACATAGGAACCAGTATTGCGCTGGTCGCGGCATGCACGGAAAAAAAAAGAATTGAAAAGCTGTGCAAAAAAAAAAAAAAATCGCGTCACGGGATTTTATTTTCCTACAATCTCGTAAATCCTAAATGCTGCTGTGTGCTCATTTCATAACATGTTTCTAGAACGCGCGAGTTCTTGAAGCTTGCTTCCATCGGAATGAGAAAAGAAAAGGCTGTGGAGTTTGATAATAATGCATCCCGTTTCGTATAGGCACTAAGAAGCTAACATATTTGTGAGACAGCGAACTCTTCTATTTTAATATTTATCCTATTACGTCCTTCTGGCGTTGCGTTCGGTGAAGTGTTTTTCACACTCCGTATCTTGTTTAATGAAAACTTCGTTAAGGGTCTAATTTGAGTTACCGATGGCTAGTTCAAATAAAGAAGGCTGTATTTTTTCCCCACTGTTCCTTCAATTGCTTACATGCCGAGGTGGCGGGATAGTTGGCGAGTTCTACTTGTAAGTGGGTTTGTAAGGAGGTCGCGGATTTTACAGCTACTGCGTCGGACCCAATTAGATGAAGTCCGAATGCGTAAACGCCGGTGAGGTAACCTTTGAGTGCACATAAAGAAACCATTCCTGGTAGAAATCCCTGAGCCTTACTACGATATATCTCGTTTTGTATGTGCTGATTTCAGATGTTTTATTTGTAATTTATTTTGATGTTGCAATTTGTCATTTATAATTTCCGAACCGGTTCGCGAACCGGTTCAGCACCCCGAACCGGTTCGCGAACCGGTTCGGGGATCGAATTAATCGAACCGAAACTGAACCGGAACAAAATTAATTTACCTGAACCTGAACCGTAACCGAACACGTATTTTTTTCGGTTGGACACACTGATATATATATATATATATATATATATATATACAGGCTGTTTTTTTTTTGTAAGCTTAACAGAATTTTTAAAAACAAGCCATGAAAGCTAGATTAATGCGGTCTGCGCTGGTGAGTTATGCGGCCAGGGGGACATAATATAAGGGGCTAATCGTAACGATCAGTCGGCTAATTAATTACAATTCGTTAATTAATTGTTTTTAATTATTGAAAAAAGACATATAGTTCTAATTAGAAGCTTGCTGAGCGTCATCGAAAACCACTAAATCAGTAATTTTCAGAGAGACTTTGAACGCGTGAGAAGCGTAGTAGTGCACTAAAGTTACCGCTCGTGGAGCAGGTACAAGGCTGGGGCTAGATAAGAGGCAGAAAAATTGCGCGGACGCCTTACCGCAAGCGCTAGCTTTGTACGTGCTCCACAAGCGCTAACCTTAGTGCACTACTACGCGTCTCACGCGGTCGAAATGTTTCTGAAAATTACTGATTTAGTGGTTTTCGATGACGCTGAGCAAGTTTCTAACTGGAACTATATGTCTATTTTCATTAATTAAAAAGTTCATTACCGAATTTTAACTAATTAGCCGACTGATCGTTACAATTAGCCTCCTATATTATGTCCTCCTGGCAGTATAACGCACCTGAGCAGACCGCATTATTCTAGGTTTCATGGTTTTTAAAAAAAGTTCTGTTAAGCTTAAAAAAAACACCCTGTATATATATGTGTGTGTGTGTGTGTCTGTGTGTGTGTGTGTATGCGTGTGTGTGTGTGTGTGTCAGAGGTAGCCAAATTACTCATTTATTGAAATTAAATTACATTACTAATTCCTTTTCTAAAATCGACTGAAATGTAATTATATTTCATTACAAATTACCACTACACGAAAGTAATGAATTACAATTACAAACTACCGCGTAAAAGTGTTGAAATTACTATTTCATGTATTTTAAAGGAGGAACTAAACTAAAAGAAAAACGCACACTGCTCTGCATTTGCAAAGTAACATCCGTCAAACACACACCACGCCAGTGGGCAATACCAAAGAGAGATAAGGTGAACCAACATGCCCTCCCAAACCGAACCGACTGACCTGGGGTCTGTCTGTGTTGTGGGTTCACGTTTTTCCGAAATTCCTGCGGCGCACACTCTCTATCCCCGGATGCGTCTGGGTTCAGATTGCCTTGCTATTGATTATTCCTGTAAGCCATGTCTTCTTTGTGCGATCTTTTGGGCAAGATAATCTTCAAGGAGGACAAAAGCAAGACAAACCCACCAGGATTTCGGTGGCACGACCCTCTAGTCCGACCTAGAGTCATACATATGAAAATGACTTTCAAAATGTAATTTAATTACAATTACAATTCCTTTGCTTCAAAAGTAGTTTAACTACAATTACAATTACTACTACGTGAAAAGTAATTAATTACAATTACAAATTACTTTTTTAAAAGTAATGCAATTACTATACAATTACTTATTTCCGAGAGCGACCCGACTTGGGCCATATAACTTTTAATTGGGGCGACAGAGTTTTGTTAGCCAGGCAAATAAAAATGTGACAATTAGTCATATGTGAACATTTTAGAAGTGTTAAGATAAAAATAAAATCCACACGCACTTATACGACCGCATTCACATTCAAACATCATGGTATTGTAAATTGTTTACATTGAGTTGTAATTATAATGGTTCAGAAATATATAAGAACCGAATCGGGGCTGCCGAATCATTGGTAACAATATTCACAGGTGCGAGGTCAGTCTACAACATGCTTATGCAAAAAAATATATCAAGTAAAGCCAACAGGAAATAAATTTGAAAATAATATAAAATATACAAATATGCGATAGTACTAAAAAAGGGGCGTAAAAAACTGGCAAAAAAATTTCATAGACAATTAAAATTTTCTAGCTCAACTAAAAGCTGAAGCTCAATATTTTTTTTTTTAATCTTTCGGCACGTTTACGCTATTGTTTCCTGCTCGCACAGCAGACGGCGCAACACGGCGCCGTTGAGCTAGGCTCCAAAGAGGATTGTCTCTCAGCCCGCACTGTAAGCGACAATACAACAAACAATGCGACGCTATTTATGTTGTGCGTGTGTGTGAGTGTGTGTCTTTGTGCGAGAGTTTCACCGAGAGCCAGACCGCTTGTGCGAGCGCTGAGGCTTTCAGGGAGGTTCCATCGGCGCCGCAAAGTTTTGCAAGTGTAATTGTAATTGTGACTGAAATTTTGCAATTACTGACGCTAGAAAGTAAGTAAATCACAATTACAGTTCCTTTTGGCCGAACGTAATTATTTACAAGTACAAATTACCTAGAAAAGTAATTAAATTACAGTAATTAAATTCCTGTAATTGAATTACTACCCAAGCATGCGAGTGCCTTCCAGCAACGCGCACATAAAGGCACCCAGTCCGGCCGTTACAGGAGCCAGCGGCCACCAACGAAAACCGCATTTATCGTTTCTTTTTCGTTATTTTTCAAAGCTTTATTTTTTTTTTGCAAACACAAGAACTGTTTTTTTCTGTTCATTTCCGGGCAAATAAAAAAAATGCCTGAAATATCCAAAAAGTAAGTACGTTTCATTTACAATTACCGCCACTAGGGTAATTCATTATATTACTAAATTACCTGCAACAAAAAGTAATGAGACACATTACAAATTACTCTAAAAAAATTTAATTACTGTAATTTTATTACAGTACCTTCATTACTGCCACCTCTGGTGTGTGTGAATCACGCAGTGCCGGCTACTCCGCGACGACCGTTATATAAAACTATATTGGAACAAAAGAAAACACAAAAGCGACAACACACATATACACAAACAGCAAATTGCAGAGTCCGCGGCTTACACGCCCAATCGCGCAACCAGCAGTCCTTAGTGACGTTTATCGCGACCTGTGGGGTCCCACAAGCTGGACCCTCCTTATTAAATGTTTGATGTTTTTTTGTCGTTTTTTCTTCTCACTAAATGTTGTGTTGTGTCGTTTCCCACTCGTGGAAATTCACAAAAGCTTTAAGTCGGATGCTTCCATACTTTTAGTGCTGTGGTTTGAAAAACCTCTGGTCCTACATATTTTTGTTATATTGCACAATCCATGACTTTCATAAAGTGTTAAATCATGATTGGAGGTGGGGGTTCATTAATAAATTAATCCGACTGATCGCCATCCATTAATAAGCTAATCAACCAATAAATTCATTAAGCGATTATTCTTCAGTCATATTACATGAAAGACGTTAAAACTACACATCTTTTATTCTTTTTACTATGTCATAAATGGCATAATGCATTCCATTCCTCTTTTATTACCTTTCTTTTACAACTTCTCGACGAAGTTGGCTCCACTGTTTTTTAAAAAATATACAACACCATTGATATTGGTGAGCCCGGGAGTCAGTGACCACGCCCGCTCCCCCCCCCCCCCCCCCCATCCCCCGAAATTTCGGGGGGGGGGGGGGGGGGAAAGGGAATCCCTCCCCCCCCCCCCCCCCCCCGAGCCCCTTCGCCCCCCCCCCCCCCCCCCCCCCCTGTGGACGCCACTGCCTCTGCGCCCTTCTACAGTGCCCTCTCCCTCTCCATTTGCCTCCCTCTCCGCTTGCCGCTCTTTCCCTTCTTCCCTCCCTGGTTACGTGACACACCAATTTATTTTCCCCATAATTTATAAAAAAACGTAGGTTAACTTTTGAAATGACTTTTTAATGTCTTTAAAACAATTGGAACAATCTATTCTAAATACTGCATTTCATGAATTATAGAACTATGAAGATACAAACATTGGTTGCAGCCTTGCTCTTTAAAGGCAGGTGAGCAAAGGTCTAACACTGTGTTAATGTCCCGCAAAGGAGACAACTGCCATGGCCCCTCGATCCCCTCTCCCACTCGTCTTGTGCAAAGAAAAACACTTTCTCTGCCCTGAACTTTGGACAGTATGACAGAAATTAAAGTGGCCTCCAATTTTGTATTGATCCAATGCATTTTTCTTTTCACTTTTTTCCTACGGGTGCATTCGATATACTTATAAAGTAGCCACTCAATAATAGAACTTTATATAGGTTTGCATATAATATTCATTTCACAATCGTGAAGTTGCATAAGCATTGTGTGCCAGTTAGCAATGGCGTCCTGTCTTCAGGCAGCACGTTTAGCTTTGAAGATGCTTAGTCCCATAAAAAAAAGTATTAATCTTATTTCTTCTTTGAAGATTCTAAAACACCGGGTGCACCGATAGAAGAGTTCTGCATGGTTTTTAAGCATTCACACAAAGTTCTCCAAGGAGGTTATAAGTACTAGGAGGGGGCACGTTGCAATATTGGTGAAGGCTAGTCATAAAAAGTTTAAACGATGTTGTGGCCAACGTGACCGTAGATCTCTCTCGCAATTGGTGCGCGTGACACGTCACGTGTGAGATGGATGGTTGATTGTAGAAGGATTCCTTGCAGGCTTGCGCGCGCTCCGTCCGGTAGGTTTTATCAGATCGAAGGCTAGCTACGGTCATGTGATGTGGTCACGTTGGCCTGATAAGTGAGGAGAATAAGGAGGGAAATGAGAAAGAGGCGAGGCGTCAAGGGAGCATGGCTTGTGGAGGCTACGCGGCTGACGTCATGCCCTCTCCTACCCTTCTATCCTCCTTGAAGTTCTCACATAACAGAATCTAACAAAGCGCAGCTGTATCAGTTGTATGCCCTGAACATACTAAACCTTCTAGTAGAAGTTTTTTCTCAGAGCTCAATATTTCTTCTTCCAGAGGTGCGGAGTACAACTCTGGCGATATCCAAGCCTTCACTATGACTTCCTCTGGATTACATTTCCGTATCAGAAAACTTCAAAAACTGCAAAGTACACTGTCCTCTGCGCTGATCAGATGAGGGTCATCCCATGCCCAATGTCCCAGGCAGTGATACCGATCATCGGCGATTTCTTCGAAAAAAATCGTAGTTATTTGATCGGTTCTAAATAAACTTCAGTCATTATTTTTCTTGAAAAAAATGTTTTGATCATGTAAATGTTCTCTGAAGTATCTGCAGTGAAGCCGGATATAAGTAAAAGTAAAAAAATCTGAAAAATCCAAGTGATTAAAATGGGATAGCTCCATTATATTTAAATACCCTGCCGAGATTGCTCTTTCATCCGATGCCAGTTTCTTATGCAAGTTCTTTGCGTTGGTTTTGATGGAGTAAACGAACACAAAACGAGACATGCTGAGCATTTAGAACAGAAAGCACTCTTGACCTTGAAGATATTTAAAAAAAACTCATCTGGGCTGGACTGTTGCTATAACTTACGTTTAAAATTATTTGAGAATGACAAAGCAAGCAGCTTTCTCAAAAATAAATAACAAAGTTGCCCAAACCCGAGTTTTGCTGAAGATTCAGCCCCAAATTAAGCATCAACACACTCCTGATAGAAATATGTACAAGGGATCATTAGGTACATCAGCTTCTTAGCTTGCAAACCAAGCAAATTTTGAGTAGATTTTGTGTTAAGTGAGAAAATATTTTTTTCAAGTACTGGAGAGCTAGGTCTTTGAGGTACTGTACTGTCTTCACACTGCACACACGCACGCACTCTGGTAATTCGAGACATGCTGCACACTCTGTGTTACTACAACTTACACAACAGCGTTGTTCAAAGTACCTGTGGCACATGGCCTAAACCCGACGTGCTTGGGCCCCGAATGCATGCGACATGTCTCAAATTTCCCAGTCAGTGAAAGAACAGTACAGCACCACAAAAACCGGATACACCGGTGCTCAAATTCCAAAATATTTTTCACTTACAATAAAATTTACTGATGCAATTTCCATAGTTACAAGTCAGATACTGACATTCCTAATGAGCTCTCCCACACTTCCTATTTTTTATCACGAGGGCCTTGATGTTCGAGTCTGAATCTTCAACAAAAATCAGTTTTGGGAACTGATATTTATTTTTGGGAAACCTGCTTGCTTTATCCTTTTCAAATAATTTTAAATGCAAACAATAGCATTCCAACAGTCCAGCCCAGATAAGTTTTTAAAACATCTTCAAGGTCAATATTAATCCCACTTTGTGCCCAGCAAAACCAATACAAAAAAAAGTTGTGTAATACTATCAAACTCTGATATCACGTGAAAGAACAATTACATTAGCATATTTATGAATAATTAAGCTATCCTATTTAATATTTTTTTTTTAGATTTGTAACTTATACCTAGTTCCTCTTCACTACAGAAATTTCAGAGCACTCATGTGACCAAAAGATTTTTCTAGAAAAATAGTTTGGCTATTTTATTTAGAACTTAGCAAGTATCTACGATTTTGTTCGAAAAAATTGGCAATGGTCAGTGTTCCTGTCTGGAATGTTTGGCATATAATGACCCAAGAGCTTTCAGTTTCGTTATCACAAGGTTCTAGGTCTTTTGCTCTTCAAGTTTCACGATTTCACTCGGGTAGGGCACCTTTGTCACAAAATCCTTACCCCGAAGGGTTGGAAATTAAGTTTTTTTCAGCAAATTCTAGGAGCACTCAGAGGTGAAGTTGCCGGTGTTTCTGCCACATTGTGGAACCATGCACTAAACATGCTAAAGCTTTCAGTAACACAGAATGCCACTGTCTTTTCTTAGAGTTCAAGATTTCTTCTTTTAGACAGAAGTACCTTACAATATCCTGATGCAGTTATTCTTTCATCTGAATTATTTTCTGCATGACTAAACTTGAGAAAACTCCAAAAGTACTTTCCACTCTGCAGTGATCATGTAGAGCTTGTGGTATTCCTTTCACAAGGTCCTGCATTTTTTGCACTTCACTCCTCAATTTCATCCAGGTTGGACACCTTTCCCACAAAATCCTCAACACCAAGGGTTGAATATGCAGTTTTTCCAGCCATGCTTAGTGCACCAGGAGCCCTCGGAGGTGAAGCTGCAGATGTCTGTGGCACATTGTGGAAGCATGCACCAAACATTCTAAAGTTTCCAGTAACACAAGTTGCCACTGTCATTTCAGTTCAAGATTTCTTCTTCCAGACAGGGGTGGCATACAACTCTGGCAATATCCTGACTGCAGTTATTCTTTCCTCCGGATTATCTTCTGCATGATAAAACTTCAAAAGTTCCTCAAGTGCTTTATCCTCTGCATTGATAATGTGAAGAGCTTTTGGTTTCACTTTCACAAGGTTTTGCACCTTTTGTTCTTCGAGCCTCACAATTTCACTCAAGTTGGGCACCTTTGCTACTGCAAAGTCCTCAGCACCAAGGGTTGGAAATGCAGCTTTTCCAGACATTGGCACTGTACCAGAAGCACTCGGAGATGAAGTTGTCTGTGAATGAGGCACATTACGGAACCATGGACAATTAGATGGAGGAGACGATGGCGTTGGTAGAAAGACATCCGGAGATTTTGCTGCCGTCATCTGCTTCCGCTGCTTCTGAGACAATTTTACCATAGGTCGCATGGTTTCACTATGCTTGGAGTCTTTTGGTGATTTTGTTTTATCTTCTTGCACTTCTCTAAGGCTTGGAAACTTTTGAGTTAAAGTTAGGGGTGATGAAACTGGTGAAGCTACAGGTGAAGCAGCAGTCACAGGTAATGTCGGTCGCTTCACCTGGACTGGTTCTGTACGAACCACCTTTTGCGGTACTAGAAGTGGAGTTTCTGGCAAGGTGTTTGGTTTTGAAGAAATTAAACACCCATTTGACTTCATCTCGTCCCTGGATCCTGCGGAAGACAAACTTAGTTCTTGCACCTTTATTGGGGGCGATACGATACTATTGGTTGCAGAGCTTTCAGATTCTCTTCGTATTGTATACTTTCGTCTACTCTTGTTTTTCAGCTCCAGGCTGGTATTGCCACTGAACTCCTCATGATCATAATAACTGCCACACTCTTGCTGGATATTTTCCATTTCATCTTTGCTAGGGTCACTCATGTAGGGAGTTATCATGCGTCTAGACATGGCAGGGATGATCTCTTTGTAGCACGAGGCAAGGGGCTGAACGGCATCATTACTCAAGGAATCCAGAGAAGACGTTTCTAGTGCAGCAGGCAGGTTTATGCACATGAAGTGCATGCAAAGTGTCTTCAGTTGGTCAGCATTGTAGACGTACGAGATTTCCAAAAGGTCAGCAACATTCTTCAGTGTCACCAAGTCTGCAAGAATTGCCTCGCACATCTGCTTTAGCCGTGTCATCAGAAGTTGGTCAGCGGACACAAGTACCTGGCACAGAAACTCCACATCCTTCGAGACCTTCAGTTTGGGAATGTCGTCAATGTAGAGAAACTCGAGGATGACCTCCAGGACCTTCGATGTAATCGGAAGGGTCAGTTTACTGCTCGAGAACTCAACCCAGCCAAGCGACAACATGCTGTTGAAGTACTCCAGCCTGGCAGTCAAGATGCAGCGATGGCAAGGAAAGTGAACATTGTCACTTGACACCAGTGTGACATCACAAAGGCTCTGAAATTTGTTCCTGAAAAATCTGAACTTGGGTAGCACTGGTACAGAAGCCAGAGATACATCATTCTTCTTGAATGTCGCTTTGTTCAGACATCCCAGAAGAGAGGTCACACCCAGTTTCTTGCATGCATCTTGAACTTCTTTCACAAATCCAGGCGTAACTCGGTTGTGCGAGCTATACTTGTTCGACAGTGTTACTATGAAGGGACCATCTCCACTTTCCAGAATGGTGCAGCTGTCGCTGTACATAAAGCAAAGTACTTCTTCAAATGCCTTTGGAGCCACATTGTCAATGTTAATAACTGCTCCTGCCTCCAATTCATTCTCTAATTTTTGAAAATACTCACTGCGCGACACCAAAATGTAACGGTGAAGAGGGTAAAAATTACCTCTCACCTTCACAGTAACATCATGCACAGCATCTGTGCTGTCAACAGACTTGAGCAGCTGTAACATGTTGCTCTGGAACTGTGATTGATCCACAGAGGGCTCATACAAGAGCCCAAGCCTCGGATGACTCTGAAGCACGGCAAAGCTTTCACCCCCAGAGCTGGCAAAGACACGCGTGGCTCTGTTAACAAAGTAAAGGCGCCTCAAGTTGACCTGTTCACAGTCTTTCCTGTCTAGAAACTTGACTAGACTGGAAGTTGCAGGAGCAGCAGTATTTGTCTTCTTAGACGGTGGACTTTCGGCAGCCTTCTTGGGCACATCTTTCTTTAGTACCAAAGAGCCGAGGTAGGCTTCTCCATTCTTCGTGACTAGAGCCACGTTTTTCAGATTCAAGCAAATGTCCACAATTGTGGGCTGGCACGAAGCATTGAAGAGGCAGCGTGTCAGCACCAGGTTAGAGGACTGCCACAAGTACACCTTGCCAGACTTGGTCAGCATCATAACCTTAAGGTCTTGCTTATCGCCTTCAGTAAGGGATACACCATTGCAATGGTCATCTAACTGCCCTCCAACAATGCTGAGTTGTTTTATCTCGAGCTGCTTCGAAGCAATCTTGCGGCACTTGTACTCCTGCGAGACGTAGATGTCGCCTTTGCTCGTGGCACAGACGATGGCTCCGTCCGAGCTCACAACATGGGTGAAATGAATGTCGGGATAATTCAGTGCAGATATCTGCCTCGGTGTGCTCTGTAGTCTGTCGCCTTTTGGGTGTCCCAGTTGGCCGGCGTTCAGGCCGAAGTTGTAGATGGCGTCCTTGGTATAGATCACCGTATGGTACCTTGCAGCGCACACTCCAAGGGCTTTCTTGTCCTTCAGAAATTTCATTGAGATGGCTCTCGGACACAAGACTTGAGGTGGCGGCGGCAGAAGTCCCAGCTGGTGATGCGTATTAAGTCCGCACGTCAGAACTTGACCGTCCTCCATGAGGAAGACTGTGTGGTCCTGGCCGGAAGCGACGTCTACACACTTTCCCAGGCCCATCTTTGCGAGGGATACAAGCTTCGTTACATTCAAGGTCGTCATCTCTGAGTTGAGCCCCAGCCGCCCTCCGAGACCATGTCCACAGACGAAAACCTCTCCTCCATTGCTCAAGAACACAGAGTGAAACTTCTGCATCTCAACTTTGTGAATGGAAACGCCATCACGCCGAAAGGCTTCCAGTATTTCCGGGTACTTGGGAGACTGTTCACTGGCCAATCCAAGGGTGAAGTTCTTGTTGGATCCCCACACGTAAACTTCGCTCGGGTCTGACGCAGAGTACTCGATGTAGGGCAGCCTGTCCCGAACGGCCAGATCTAGGGGAGTGCAACCATCAAAATCTGTCACGGTCAAGCTTGCTCCGTGCTGCAGTAGGAGTCTGGCACAGTGCAGCTGTCCGTAGAACACTGCCCGGTGGAGAGGAGTCCATCCGGACTCATGATCGCGAACGTCAACCTCTGCGTGGCACTGGTCGAGCAGCCATTGCACGAGTTCGGCCTTGCCGACGGAGGCGGCGACGTGCAGCGCAGTTCTGCCAAGTGCGTCGGAGACGGTCCAGAAGTTGTGACAAAGTTGTCGGCAGTACGTCTGGATCTCGGCGACGGTTCCCTTGGTGATAGCGGAAAGTACCAAATCTGCGTGCTGCGACGACTTGCACCAAGGCGTGCAGTCCGGCGCAAAGAATGCGGCGCCACTCATTGTCACCTCGGGCCTGCGACGGGGATCCTGCAGCAAGATGGGAATGCTCGAGGTCGGGTCACGAAAACGCCTCTCGCCTCACGGACCCCCCGACGCAAGCCGGAGCCATAATGTCGCTCAAAACCTGCCTACTCCATGTTGTAGGAATTCACGGGCGTTTGCTTGGCGAGCACGGCCGGCGCTGACCGAAGAGACGGCACTGGACCAGCGGGAACTGTGCGATGGGTACATGGTCGAAGTTCCGAACTGTTGTCAAGGGCAGATTTGCGAAAAATAATCAAGCAGCGCAACGGCGCAACGTCGCAACTCTTTGCTTAGCACGAAAATACCAAAAACAGCCGACGTCCAGTCCTTCAGGCTTCAAGCCAACACAGCCAGAGCTTTTTTTTGTTTTCTTTTTTTTAGCAAGCATCGCACGATCCTCTGCTGATTAAAAAAAAATAAGGTTCTAGAGGTCGCGCTCTATCAGTCGTTTTCAAATTTAGAACATTTATTTTAAATAATAGTCTTTCTAAAACGTTCAATAAAAATATAAAATTTAAGTTGATTGAATGTGTATTGTGTTAAGTTAAATTTAAAACACAACTTGCTTTATGACTTTTATAAGTCTCGCTTGGGGAACACAGGCCTAGTTGATAAGCGCGGACCATGACGTCACTTTTTCAGCAGCTGATGTTTGTAAACAAGATGGAGACATCTGTGCGAGTGTGCAGTTAGTCTTCCCTCGCGTTATTTAGGTTCTTAGATGCTTATTTAACCGTCAAAATTCAAAGCTTCTTTCGAACAAATGGCGGCAGAGCCGCACAGGAGGGGTGTCAAGCCCAGTGGGCTCGTGGTGCGCCCGCAAGCCGTGATCAAGTGAGTAGCTCCGAGAACAATACGCTCCACAAAAATACGCAGTTGCCATGCGCTGAAATTGATTCATAGTCGAGACTATTCCTGACAGCAGCTATCCTACGAAACGCTAGTTACGTTCGTACGCAGGAGTTTCTTTTTGAGCGACCGTTATAAGCTGCGGCCAGCCTTTTTGTGTCCGCAAGACGCTTTCAATGCCAGCTTGACTTTTCCATTGCATATGCAACACCCGATATCACTTAGCCCTAATGAGGTTTCATCGCGCAAACAACTGAAGTTTGCTTTTCGTTCGCTGTCTCTTAGTAACAGGTGGACGGAAATTGGTTTCTAGCGCGAACGTCACAGGTCGTAGTCCGATTGAGCAGATATCTCTGCGATGTTGACGTTCTGCGAGAGGCGTCTCGGCGCTAGAGCTAGCTGTCGTCCAACAAAAGACAACAAGCAAGGTCGCCGAGATGAGATCCCGCCTTCCGATCCCACACGTTTAAATACGGATACGCGAGCCTTGTTATCACTTCATCCTATTGTTTTTGTTACTTCTACCTTTTGTTTTCAACTTTTTATTATTTTAATTTATGAATATGTGAGGCGTTTATAGTAACCTCACAGACGCGCATTTGTGACTGTATTAACTCCTGAAACACTGCTTGATTTTTGTTCAGTCTTTTTTTTTTTTTTTTCTACTCTTTCACATAACAGATTGTGATGTTATGAACTGGTGATGTTTTAGCATCATGACTTGCTTTGAATGCTCTGTCTGTCTTTTTTCAGTGACAAATCTTATATGGATAGCGTTGTAGGATTCATCAATGACGTTGTACCACAGGTAAGTCTATTAGTCGTGCTTATTGTACAAAATTTTGGGTCACATTCATATCAATAGTATCAAACAATCACGGCGAGTATTCTCTGTAGAGAGAATACTTGTATTTTATATATATAAATATTCTTAAGAGAATTCAAAGTGTCGCATATAGAAAAATATTTTTGAGGTGTTTTTGCTTAGCACAGGCTTGGCACTAGTGCGCATGAATCTAGCGGTTGTCAGTGAATACATGGAAGGTTTTGTGTGATCCTTTAGGCTTTGTGTTAGCTGTAATTCATTTGCATCCATAGCCTCTGTTCATGGCCGACCGTAGGAATTCCTTATTGAATGTTCTGAGATAAAGTTGGATAGGGGCATGTCATGTACTATTGTGATCAGTATGAAATAAAACACGGTAGACTGTTGCTAACAGCTTCAAACCCTACTTGTTGCGACACACAGTGGCGGCTTTTGAAAACGAGGTGGAGAGAGTGGCGCAGTTCTATCAGCTGCAGGCACCCTCTTCTCCCTCCTCCCCCACTAGCAGCTTGCTTCTCACACGAGAGATTCGCCAACTAGTGACGACAATAACAGCTTGATACTACCGTGACTCAGAATGTGCTTGTTGACAGCAATAGCTATTCGTTTTTGTTTCATCCCTTAAAGCATGAAATGCTTTTGAACGCTACCCCCAATCTCAGTATTTTGTCCGTCTGTCCGTCCATGCATTTTCCGCTAAATTTAGCTGGAAAAGTGGCGTCACATGACCTATACACCTTAATTAAATTGGCGGCATGTGACCTAACGTCAACTTAGTTTCCCGCTAAGTTTAGCGGAAAAATTCTTATATTGTGGCCAAAACATCAATTCACTTCCCCCTCTAGATTTAGTGGGAGATTGGCATCGCATGACCTGTACACCGATTCTGTTACCCGCTAAATTTAGCGTGAAAATTTGTGTCTTGTGACCTAGACGGTAATCCAGTTTCCCCGCTAAATTTAGCGGGGGAAATCATCGCATGACCTGACGTTGCATGACCTATACAGCCATTCAGTTTCCCCGCAAAATTTAGCAGGAGAATATATGTCACGTATACACCAATTCTCTCCTCCTCCTCACCGATTCCCTATAATGCATTTCATGTATTCTAGGACTTTGAACGTGAAGGTTGCTGCCAATTTTAATTATTTTGTATTTTCTGCACGCATTCGTCGGACAAGGCAGTTATTGCCAAGAGTCGGGCACATTTGCTTTTTTTGTTGCTTTTCAAATTCTGCCAGGCCACGTGTGCCACAGCGTCGTTATCAAATGCTGCATGAGAAGCAAGCTGTCGGTGCAGTGCTCAGTGCGCATCTCTGACCGGTCTGTTTGGCGTCCCATTCCGCCTACGCTTTGAAAGCGGTCTCGAAGTGGCAGCAAATAACATCGCAAAAGCCGGGGTGTCACGTGGTCGCACGCCGTGATCCCGGCAATTGGTCGTAGAAATGCCGGCGAAAAGAAAGAGCAAATGTGAGTGCCGTCGCGGCGTCCCGGCTGCCGAAGCTTCCGTGGACCATCGAGCTGTAGAGCAGACGCCTCTTTCGCAGCGGAAGAGGCGTCTGCCACACCCACCACCGCTGTTATGACTTTGCCCGGATCGCGGCCGACGACGGCGCAACACTTCTGTGACGTCGTCGAGCAGAAACGGGGACCACTTTTTTTGGACGCGGGTAAACACACCACTCAGAGTCGCATTGACCGTGGTGGGAGGTGCCGGCAGCAGACAGTACAGGGTGGCTCTTTCCACTTTGTTTCCAAAAGCTGCCACCACGTGTCGCCACAAGTAGGATTTGACGTTACTTGCCACGCGGTCCCGTGCATCCCGTCGGGATGCTCGCGATGGTACTGACTGCAATCGACTCGTAAGACATGAAGTTCGTATTGTTGACAGTGTGGACTCGAGTGCGCCGACTTCAGTATGTGGCTTCACTAATACTGGAAACTTCTCCGAGACATGTTGGGCGTGGCACTGGACAAAGACGGTGGCACCTCTAGCGGACTCAAGTCTACGGAAGTAGAGGACGCAATGGAGAAGTGTAGGCTCCGTGACGCTGTCTAGCCTTTTGAGCCCCGTTTCGTTATCCCAGGAGCTGAAACAATTCGTTGAGATCTATGCATTTGCACTGCGGAATTTACTGGTCGAAACTGCAATGACGACCAAATTATACGGAGCATCTAGCAACCTGGAGACCCTGGAATTGTCGGGAATTTCGAATCATCTGGAAAAGTCGGGGTAACTTCCATAGAATTGGTTAAGTCAGGGAAAATGACCAGTGTCGGTGGCGCAGTGACCCCTAACAAAACAGGAGGGCGTGGCGTGGCGTGCGGTGGCATGTATGGCCTTTGTTCTGAGTGACAGTCGCTCAAGGCATCACTATGCAGCGTAAGCTGCTGCTCGACTTACCAGTTTAATGAGGAACAGCCCAAAAAGCCACTGCAACCCCATCCTCTGCATTTTCTGCTTTTGCAATGATTGGGGAATTTATTCAAAATAGTCGAGGAACACATTAAAAAGTCGGGGAATTTAAGGTACGCAATTTGGTAGACGTGCCGTTATAAATGGCATAAAAAGAGACATTCATCCATTCATTACGCAGGTTCAACGTCGTTGAAGAGATTATGCATGTTTGGTCAGCCTCTGAGAAGAAAAAGAAGGATAGTTGATTAACGTAGAAGTTTGGGCTAGTTGCTAGGTAGACATGATAAAAACAAAACTGCGCAAAGACAAGGGTGAAGTAGAAGAAACTACAGGACACAGCGCTGAAACAAGGACGAAGTAGAAGAAACCACAGGACAGCGCTGCGTCGTGTGGTTTCTTCTACTTCATCCTTGTCTTTGCACTGTTTTGTTTTTATTATGGGAAAGAAAGCTTTTAGCTATTCAGACTGTGTTAAAATCTCAATCATGATGTGCTGGGCACAATACTGTACTCTTGTCAAGATTTTTTATTTGAATGGGTGATCACAAAAAGATGCACAAACTACAAATTCATATTGTTGGAGCAGCAAGCGTGCCAGTTTCTCCAGTGGATATCATCATAGGCTAGCAGAATCCGACCAGTAGCAGACATGTCCACAAACACACAATTATACACACAGCCACAACAAGGCTTTGCAATGAAAAAAAGGATTATGCAAACATTTTATGTTTATTCTTTCTGTTTTTATTTAACTTCACCAACGTGCTCACGTCGAACTAAGTCACAAATATTGCAGCTGTTATTTTAAAGCAGCAGCTGAAAGCAGAAAAAAGATTTTAGGCCCACACCAAAACATGTTTGCAAACAGCAGAAATGTTGCAATATTCATACAAATAACATCAAGTGCTTAGGCATAGCATAAACGAACCAGGGGTGCGCTTTGTTTCAGCATAACTTGGCAGAGTGCAAATGCTTCGGACCTACGGCCCCTTGAGTCAATAATCGGAGCGATAAAGCAAAGCGCGTGACACCTCTCCGTAAGAGATGATTACTAAAACAATACATTGTCAAGTGCCTCCTTCCAACACTCTGATTGACTCGCTGGGGCCTTAGCTTTCATTGTTTGTCAAGGTTTGGAGAAACGAAGTATAAGCTCCAAAATGAAACAAAAAGAGTAGATATCACCAAAAGACTGAAACATTGCGATAACTACCCTCGTGTTAACGCAGGAAAGAGGAAAATAAACTGAAATGCAGGCGGAGGAATGGAGGCAGGTGCATGGCATCCGTTCTAAAACAACATGGAACGTTGAATTAGAAAGACTGAATCATTTATCGTGACTGTCCGTCATGTACATGCATTTGTCTTATAAAAAGAAATAGAAATGAAATTAGCCATGCTATAGTCAGTGGCAGGTTAAGAGCCCAGTAAATGCTTGGTCGGGGCGTGAACTTTTTGCCTTCGATAATACTTTGTCGCACGCACAGCCAAAGCTAGGTGAAAGGCAGCGAGCGCATGTTGGAGACAGAGCATTTTACTGGGTTCTTAACCTTTCACTGACTATACTAATATTGATTGGAATTTATGCTTTGTATTCAATGCCACTGAGACCCATCTTTATTCATGCATTGCACTCCCTTATTGCATGTTCCTGAGAACTGGCAACTTTTCTTTCTGGCATTTAAGCGAATCCATATGGTACATTTTCGGTAATGGCTTCAAGATTTTATATGCACAATCCCCGATAACATACTACGATAATGTAAATACCTTTTCTGCTGCCTTTAATTTCTTTAATTTACAACACTGTTGGCAGGAGTAGCCAGCTCACCTACTCGACAAGCCAGTTCTGAGAAAACCATTCATGAAAAACAGTAATCCTAAGAGCAGAAGTAAGATGGACTGATTGACTAAAACACTAGAGTTGAGTCCAAGCTAAGTTTTGAGATTTGTAGATACATACTACCTATTAAAAAACAAACAGCACAAAAATACATGAATGCTTTTCCTGCTTTTTGTAAACTGTGACATCAGAGCGCTTTCGTGTGGGGGGGAGAAGCAAAATTGCACTTAAAAGGCTGTACTACATTTTTCACAGAAAGAACACATCCTTCCCTCAGGGAATTGTAAATATTTCAAGTTTATAGGCGGAAAATAGTCGTGACAGGTGGTTTTCCATTAGTCACCTTGTATAGAGACGGGCAAAACCAATGTGTTGTAAAGACGTCATCTGCTAGCAAAGACTTCAGAAGGAGTGTTGCAATCATTCTTTTGCCCGTGTACGGTGAGAATTTTTAGTTTTTGTGAAGCTATATAGTAATCATGATTTAAGACAACCTTGGGACAAAAGAAACAAGAATGGCAAACACAACAAAGTCTTTGAGACTTCGTTGTGTTTGTCCTTCTTGTTTCCTCTGTCTCAGGGTTGTCTGAAATCATAAATGTAAACCAGCTCGCCTGTGCCTTATCACTCATTTCTGTATAGTAATATTTAATTTACCATAAAAAAAATATAAAAAGTGTTCGGAAATTTTATGATTCTCCTCATTCTCTCTCATAAAAGTTTAAAAAAAAAATAATAAACAAGTTTTGTTGTGTCTTTAATTTTTTCTTGCACGATTTCATTATATTTTGACATATCAACTGTTCAGGAAAGCTAAACCATAGCTGTCATGTTTTTCCTCAAATTTGGCATTCTAAGGAAAATTACAATCGCCACAATGTTTACCAGAGTGAGTGGAGGGTCGCCACAATGTTTATCAAAGTGAAGGGGGGGGTCCATAATCTGAATGCTGAAACTTTTCAGGCTTATACACAAGTGCAAAAATCGGATGAGAAGGAGGCAGTGCAGTGGTTGCAGTTTGCTTGCACAGAAGCTTACGGTAGGTTCAGTAGGGCTTTTGCCTCCTTATTCAAACCCATTCAGTGTACTACAGTGAAGCTTCATTTTTCTTCTCGTTATTTTTTTTGTAGAACACTGATGTATTTTATCTGTAGTTGTAATTTTTGCTAATCGACTACTGAAAAAAAAAAAGAAAAATACTGCACAGTTTTGTCCTTCTCTGCTTTGGTGCTCATCAGGTTGTTACAGTTTCAACATTTTCATGCAAAGAAATATTCTTCAGATGCATTGTGTTGGCAATTGTTTTTGGCATATATTGATTACAAACAGCCAGCATTATGCCGGTTCATATGCTCGTAACTAAATACAAATCTTTACAAAATCAAATAAAAGTTCTTAAATTGGAGGATAAACCTTCTTAAAGGGGCGGTGCAACGATTTTACGATTAAAAGAATTTGCATCTCGTCATTTTTATGTTGTTTATCGTGTCCCGGAGAATAGAGAAAACACCTCTTTCATTAAAAATGTTGCGATTCCGCTGCATAATCGCAAAGCAAAAGTCAATCTCTTTCCCCCACCTGCAGCCCCGAGTGGCAGCCGAAGGAACTACGGTGAAAAGATTACGTGACCTTGCTCGGCTCTAAGCTGCAGTATAACGCTCGCTAATGTTGGCGGAGCGAGGGAGAGGAAGCGTCCTCCGAGATAGCACACGGGAAGCTATACAACACTCTGAATGACGTCACTAGGAGGGGAACCAGGTGTGACCCTGAAGGCGGGGAGTAAGTTGAGGGGTGCCCGAAATGCCAATCTTTATCTTTTTTTTTATGCAGCAACTAGGACACGCAGGCAAAATCGGTTTTCTGTTCTTTACTTCAGAAGTGTCAGAGGGCAACTTCCAGAAATCTTTGACCGAAGTCTGGAAATAGTTGCACCCCCCATTTAAGCTTTTTAAATATCACTAGTTAATATAGAAGGGCTTTTGGAACTATATTCTGTCCTACAATGTTAAACCTTGCATCTCTTGGTCTATATTAAGAGGTTGTACTGATGCTTGAAAAAGACACGGTGGTCTCTTGTTTTAATAAGGTAAGGTACGTTGTTGGGCTAGTTGGTTCATCTTAGTAAAACATATAAAATAGCGCAACAGAAACAAGGACAAGAAGTCCTGTTTACTTCTTGTCCTTGTTTCTGTTGCGCTATTTTATATGTTTTACTCTTGTTTTAATTTGTTGTTGTTTTGATGTTTTTGGCAGATTTAATCATCCATATTATTTTGAGCCACAGTGCAGTAAAGAAAACTTTTTAATTCCCAAGAGCTCTCAATTCTGAAGCACGAAACGTAAAAATCAGAAAGGTTTATATTGACAGAGTTTGTATTAGTGTGTCGGTATAAATATTCAGAAGACGGAAGCTTTAGAACCCTCATCCCTCCTCATTAAAGGTCAACTCCGCTTAATTCTGAAGATTTCAGGATTATAAGTGCTGCCACATTAAATAGCACCAATAAAAGACACTACGTCGTTTGCTGCACGAAAATTGGGATATATATTGATAAATCTAACTTTACAGACGTGCAGAAATTGAAACCGAAACTTTGGCTCTATCTGGCAACATTGGCCTCGGCCCTCCAAAAACAGGGCTATCACGCGCTACAAGATGTCGCGTGATCCTCTACGAAACGACGGGCGGGATTGGGGTGGGCGTGTGCCAGACGCAAGCGTCGTCTGCACTGCACGCTTCACGACATTTTGGTGTCTACGACATCGACGACATCTGCACAACTGCGGCATAAGTTTGCGCACGTAGTGTCCCTAGTGTGAACGAAACTCCGAGCGACAATAATCACAAACAGTGAGACAACGACGGCAATTGTGACACGGGGGACGGCGGTAACGGCGGGACCACGACAAATGGCTCCCAAGAAGCGCGCTGCGCAGGCGTGTTAGGCCAGTCACGTGGACATTGCTGAGCGCCGAGAGGAAACATTGCTGACGTTACCCCATTACGCTTGTTCGGACAAGTAAAAACAATCAAAAAGGGGCAATGGTAATGACGTTTAGCTCAGTGTTGGCTACACCCACACCGTAGCCTTGACTGCGCTGTTGGTTGCACCTCAATTCGTCCGCTCGAGTCAGCCTATTTCGGCAACTTGGCGAGTTGTGAAGTTTGCCGAACCATTTAAGAAACATTTCACAGAACTTGGTCGTAATATTTGATGTGTGGTCTTCCTAGGTAATACTGAAGAGGGCTGCATTGTTTTTTTCAAAAACAAAAATGGAGCAGAGGTGCTCTTTAAAGTTATTTGGTCTCATAAATTCTTAGTAGAATTTCATAACGAATTACAAGAGTATTGGAATACAGGTATGGGTATGCATTTTTTCTTGCCATTGAAACTCTGGAAATAACTTTATCAAACCAGAGGCAGAATTATACAGCATCATAGTAAAAGAAAGGATATGGCTTGAAAAATGGTCAGTGTGCAAGCTTTCCCATATCTGGATATGCTATTTTCTAACAATATGTTTTGTTCCCCGACTTGTAGGCGGCACGGAAAAGAATAGAAATGCCTCTCCACTTCTCATTGTGGTCGGATACATGAACGGAGTTCAAATATGGTGCATCTCGGTAAGTACAAGCAAGAAGCATCACTGCTCATACTGTAAACAATTTCATGTTCATAAAATTTGCAAAGTGTGGGTATCGCGAATATTTCACAGGCACAACACTTCGCTCTTGAGAGTGGTATGCTGTGTATTTTTTTACTGTAAATTTGAGCTGTTGGTACAATCAATTTTTCACAATGCTCCGCGATATTCACAAAAATTAGGCCCTCTCAACAATTAAGTTGTTTGCAGTACTGGACGATTAGAGGAGAGAAAGCTGTGTGCTTTGAGATGTCAGTGCTACTTTCAGACAAATGGTGAAGCACAAGAGGTTCTGTCTTGGAGGCAAGGTCCTGTAAGGGTCTTGAACATTCTACCAACACCAGATAGTAAGTATAGCCAAGTTTGATTAAGATTTAGCTGACCTAAGTTTGTGTCTTGCATGCACATTCTGCATTTATTTGTCACACATATTAGGCTTCGTTAAGCTTGCTGTTAACAAAGGCACTCTTCTTCTTTGCGTCTTCTTCAGGTAGTTCAGGCAATGACATGTTTGCGTCCAAACGACCCCTGGTTGCGTTGTGTGACAGCTCAAAGTGTGTACTTGTTCCCTTATTGTTTTTTCTGGTTTTGACTACTGCTTATGTATCAGTCTGGTCAGTACAATTTTTCTCTTTCAGTCCTGGACAACAATTTTGCTCTGTGAGCATCGTTTCCTTGAAAACAATGGACCAAGCGCATAACATCAGGTTCAAAGAGCCCGTTCGTGAAATTCACTCTAATAAGAGGTGAGACATGTGTTTCTGAAGGACTGGTAGTAAATGAGCCATATATCGCCTGCTAATACTTGCTTTCTGCGTACATCATGCTTACTGTCCTAGGAAATGTTGTGCAAATACAATATGGGATAGAAAACCTCCAGGGCTGGGTCGATATGGGAAAGTTCAGGTACAGCAAGACCGTGGTGATTCTTCGGGTGATCAGTGACAGTTTCTCTGCAGATCGCTCCTAGTTTCATACTTCTAGCCAGAAAACAAACTTTGTCCTTCCACACCCACCTAATCACCTGACCTTGCCCGCTGCAATGACTTTTTTTTCCGAGCCAGCATGTTAATTTCAGGGTTGTTTTTCTTCGAGTGCAGAAGTGAAAAATGCATCGATGGTTGAATGGAAGGATGTCGTGAAGTATTACGAGTTCTAGAAGTGCTCTGTCAAGCTCTACACTTGCTCGCAGAACTTTATTGTTGCAAGGAAGGGCTTATCTTAAACAAGGATATGTTTCAGTTTTACCACCCCATACTTGTAGACCCAGTCCCAGAACTTTGGGATTCTACTTCGTACATATGTTGTGAGCCTTTAGCCCTCCTCCTTCTTTTGATTCTGTTTATTCTCTCAATTTCATATGTTCTCATCAATTTTTTATGTACTTGTTTCTTTGTTCTAGGGTTATGGTCATCAGCTTCCAAGAAAAAATTTTTGTTTACGACGCTCACACATTTAAGGAACGCTTTTGCATTTCAGGTATGTTGTTTCCAGCCGATCCTTTGATGCTCAGTTAACCTAATTCTATCGGACGTTGGATGTAATAGCTGGGACCTTCTATTAGACATAATTTCTTTTAATTGTCATAATTGTAAAGATAAAATTTACATGAAAATGTAAAGAAAGTGATCAATCCTAAAAGTAATGCTGGACGAAGCTTTACCCTTACATTGCAAATTAATTGCATTATACAGTGTAGACCGCATATAATGTATGTCGCGGGAGTCGCGAAAATCAGCACTACAAGCGGTACCGCGCTATAACCAAAGAGTAAAGCTATACACACTCCGGAGTGCACTTCGGATGAAATGGCTATACGCACTCCGCAGAGAGCTCATGCCACTCGGGCCACTCTTTTCGAACAGCGCGTGTATCACTGGGGAGCTCGTTAACACAGTCCCCCGCCTGCGTTCACACCGCTTCGCGGCGACAGTATCGGCTGCTAATTACAAAACGTAACCAGTACACACCACTTCACGGCGTCCAGCCGGCAACCCAAGCCCCGCTGTCCCCAATCGCACCTCCGGAAAAGATTCGTCGACAAAATTCGGTTTTTTAGTGTTCATCGCAAAAAAGAAATGTCGTAAATATCGCCAAATGCCCCGACAAAACAAAATGTTTGAGGAAAAAAAAAAAAAGTAGGTCCACTGGGGATTGAACCCGCGTCCACTTGCCTCGAAAGCGGTCACCTTAACCTCTATGCTATGCCATCGTTTAGAAAACTCGTAACCATTCGTTTTAAACGAGTTTAGCGGAGTGCGTATGGCCATTTCGTCTGAAGTGCACTCCGGAGTGCGTATAGCTTTGCTCATAACCAAAACATCAATTTTTCATTCCAAGATACATGCCATGAGAAAACTTACCTTTGTAAAACAATTTATTTTATATTAGATGAAAAATAAAGCTTAGTTTGAGGAAAGTCTCAAGTGTGCCACACATTTTGAAAGAAATGAGTGACTTTTGCCCGGCGCAGCCTTTTAACGGCGCCGCGGGTTGCGGATGGACGTTGCGTGTGTTCAGGATTGCTAACCCTAATTACTTTTCTCCGGTGATGAAAACGCGTGAAAATTCGCCAGTAATACCTTCAACTTGAGCACAGGCGTGAAATGCTCCAAATAAGAAATCCGGGCGATGTTCGAAAACATAAATGCTTAGAAAGCACCACTGTAGTCGAAGTAAACAAACACGGCGACACGGGCGTTTCTGCTGTCTTGAGAGTGCCACCACGACATTGCGCACGAGTAGGTGGATCTTCCCTTTTAGTACGTGTTGGGTTATCATAGCGACACACAACGAAAATTCACAGTCAAGGATAGCGCTTTTACGCGGAACGATGAGCTTCCACCACGCCGTCTACGTCGACAATAACCACCGACGCCATGTTTGCGGATAGAAGAAGCTGGCCCACGACCGGCATGCAACGCGCGTGAAAACTTCTCCTCCACCTGCGATTGGTCTGTCATTGCGGTTGTTTCCAACGTTTCGAACGCAGCAAAGGGATACATGCACGTGAACGACACGTGCGTGCGTCCCTCCGTCGCTATGGCAACTGAAGCCTCTCTCTTCGCTTCTTCGAGCAACCTCCTTGCCCCGCGAGTGCCGCTTGCGGCTAGCGCCGTTATCTAGTGTCGCACAGGGAAGCGTGCTCGCTGCGCCAGTCGGTTGGCGCAGTCGGCGGGCTGTTCCAGAAACCGCATTATAACCGGTATTTCCCTTTGCACGCCTGCATTTTAAACGGTATTTAATTACATGGACTTCTATGGGAGGCGAACCGGTGGTTTAAAAAAGCCGCGTTATACCCGGTCCTGCACTATAAGCGGTTACGTTGTAAGTGGTCTATACTGTAGTGGACATTCCGTAAATGTGCAACTCCTGCTGTTTTCTATTTCAGTTTTTAGTCACTTACACTTTTTGAAAATTGTTCACTGATATTTTCAGTTAAGGAAAAAAATTTAGAAATCAATATGGTACTTATGTTTTGTAGGAAATAATTTGATGTGACTAAATCTTTTCTCGTGAGTTTTCCTAAAACAGTGTTTTTAATATCGTAGGTTCAGCTTGATAGTCACCAATAACAGACCTTTCACCCCTAGATTTACATTTGTACTTACATGACATTTGATGCAATAAAATATATGTTTTGCATCTATTTCATATTTTTAAATGGTGCTAACTCTCTGGTATCTCCACAATTTCTCAGGGTGCTACCCTTGCCCAGGACCAAACAATAACCCAATTGCACTACACAGTCGGTGGCTGGCATTTGCTGACAAAACGGTAAGGGCTGAAAACCAAGCCAATGTCTAAAGCAGCATTGAGCGAAGTATGTAACTTTTGCCATACCATGTCTATTTGACTAGAATCATGGATCCATCACATTTTAGTCACAATATGTCACAACTTAATGTGGTACTTTGGAGGTACATTATTCGACGCAGTTAATGCAAACATGAGATTTGTGCCTTTTTTCATTTTACAAAACATGTCCAAGTGCTGAGCACCAAATTTTCCCACCTCTAATAATTCACACAGACATTCATAAACACATTTTATTACACTGCATATAGTAGTTTTCAATCGAGCCTTTTCAGTTGCCCAAGAAAAATGGTATTACCATTAATCTCGTTTGTGCTGTCACGCTACAAGGCATCTGGTGGATTTCATTGAGCAAAGTACTGACTTGTTATAGATATGAGTATTTAATGATTGCAGCTGCACTATTCACCCAAGGACAGCATTGTCTATTTTTTGTTGCTTGCTAGATGTGGCTAATATACAGGTCAGATTTGGTGAAAACAGAAAATGTTCCAACGAAGCAGAGAAGCTGGTTGGCACATGACCTGACTCGAAAAAACAATCTTTCTAGCTCTATCCGGTGCATCAGACACGGGGTGGTGTCACCGGAGAAGGTGCGCAGTCGTACACCGCCACGGTCATTCACGCAGCCAAAGTAAGTCCTTATCCGAACCTCGCACATCCTTGGTGAGAGACCCTGCCACGTACGATTATTGGTTCGCTAGATGCATCTTTATTTTTGTTTAACTATCGTTAGTTTGAAGTATCAAAACTGAGGATACCACTTGGGTTGGATCATTTCTCTTTAGCTCACTGCAAAGAATTAATAGGTATCTAAAGAAACATCCTTGCTAGAGAAGCAAGTGTGTCATATATTTCCTTATCCATTGTTTTAGAATAAAGTTGTTATGCCAGTATATATGGCAACCTCACGCGAGTGCTAGGACCTTAAATTATAAGGTAAGTATGCCCTAACGACTGATAGAGGTGATGTACTATGAAAGTTACTTTCCCCATGGCGACGGCAAACATTCCGGAGCATTAACGAAGTATACTATACAGCCACCAGTCCTACTTTAGAAGATGGGTGCCTCATCTCTCTGCAGACGATCCGAGCATTCCTTCTTGTAAGTCCTCGTGGCTGCCGAGACACTTTTCCCTCGCCCTCTTCTCTTTCGTTTGAGGAAAAGAATAGATGATCTCTCAACCACTACACGTGAGGCTGATCATTACATTTGCGTTTGAGAGTGGTTGAGTGTGTTGTGCCCGCTCGGCCTGGAGCTCTTACTGTCTACGTATAAGGCTCTGCAGTACGAGTTCCAGGGCTACATTATAGAGGTTACCAACGCATTCTCTTGTCGTAAGCGGTCTTGAGCGGGCAGAACGCACTCGGTCCCGCTAACAAAACGCATTTGTGAACTAGCCTTCAGCCGCCAAATATCGCACAAGTGTTGAATTTCGAGCGCTCTTCTAAAGGTCTGTCCACACTTGATGCGATTATGTCGTGCACGACATTTGCCATACGGAAGTGAGTAAGTTTTTTTGTTTTTTCTTCGCTTCGGGTCTGCTTTGGACCGATTTTCGTCAAGGGGAAAGCGACTCTCCGCTTGCATTCTAGGAAGAAGCTTATGTCGTTGGTCTTGGAATGCAGCCCCTTCTGTCAGTCGAGGACTGCTGTTAGTTTCGTAACCTCCCAAAAACAAGAAAGGGGAAGAAAAATAAGGTGGAAAGTCGGGCTCTATTGTGCCTGGTAGCGTGGTACGCGTCCTCGCCAAAATCATCCGCGCTCTCCATATCAGATACAATATTTGTGCGCAGTACAAATCATATCCTGTGTGGACAGCCCTTAATCGTACCTTGATTGCCGCATTCTAGTTCTCGCAACTTGGGCAGACTCGCAAACCATTTGGGTTTCCTCCCGTCAGACCCTCTCGAAGGGGCTGTCCCTGTTCGGCGAGACGGTGGCCTCGAGCCTGACCGGCCACAAGGTCCCTTCCGTAGCCACCAAGAAGGACGGCCAGCGCTCGAGCCTCGGCAGCGGCTGCGGCAGTGTCGGCGGAGGCGCCAGCAACGGCAAATTCCCCGGCGTCGTGTCCGTGGTGGACGTGCTGGGGGTCTCGGGGAGCCAGTTCAGCTCGGACGAGGACACGGACGCGGAGGGCCTCCTTGCACACTTCCAAGCCCACCAGGGGGAGCCGGTGGCGGCACTCAAATTCGACCCTAGTGGCACCCTGCTGTTCACCGCCGACTGTCCTGGGCACAACTTCCACCTGTTCCACCTGCTGCCGCACCCAGGGGGCCCCGCGTTTGGAAGCGTGCACCACCTATACACGTTGCATCGAGGAGACACCACCGCCAAGGTGAGGGCCTGAGGTTTTTACTCGCTGGCGCTACCTACCTTGTGATTCTGGCGAGAGGAGGTTATAATTCCTTCCGAACCACACTTGACAGCGTGACACTCCAGCTTTCGTCACTTCATTTGTTGCCACTTCGGGATTACTTTTGACGCGTGGGTGGACAAGGAAACTAAATGGACCAGTTGGATACACGTTGCAGGAGTTGGAAGGTGTCGTCTACTTTCAAGGGCCGGTCTCCCGGTCGTCGAAGATAATCGCGATGCTGAAACGTTGGTTGTCGTGGAATTTCTATTTATCAATGCAGAGGCACTGCTGCTCGACTGAGAGTTATCTGTTGAGACGGTGCTTAATGGTAATGGTCAATAACTATAGTTGCCCTAGGTTCCCAGAGACTGCTTTGGTAAGGCAGCAACTATTTCGACGTCCGCCGTCAGAAAATGTCCAAAATTATTTTGACGTCTGCGACGTCACTTCCGTAAGTCGAAATAGTGGCTTTGTTATTTTGACGTCTCCCGTCGATGCAGCCATCGCGGTGGTAGCGGTTTTGTGGTTTCGCCCTGTTTAGTTTTGTGACGGTGTTGTCGATGTTGTGTTGATGCGTTAACGGAGTTGTGTGTTGCATGTCTAAGAAAGTTCGATCCTAGTTGGTCGTGGAAATGTCTTATTCAGCATGTGTGTTTGACTGGCTCGACAGTTGGTCTTTTCGGACGTGACACGCCCGGTGGCGATGTTCTGAGCTCTCGCACGTTGCTTCGGCACGCGTCTCACATAAAATTTTGAGTCTACAGCGAAGGCGAGCTGGATATCCCTCCGTCTTGCCTGCATGTAACAAACATAAGTGCATACATTACGTAACACTGAGAAATTTGGCACGTTTTTTGTATGGTACCTCCATATCGTGCGAGCGCATCTTTTTATAGTAGCAGTCTCGCTTTGCATCTTGTTCCCGCCCTGTTTTTAACTGGGTTTTGTTCGTTGTTTAGTTTAGATTTTCTTTTAATGCGTTAGCATTAGAACGCTCGTTTTGACGAAAACCTGGTAGTGTTTTTCGTTTGCCATAGATTTTCTTTTAATGCGTTAGCATTAGAACGCTCGTTTTGACGAAAACCCGGTGGTGTTTTTTGTTTGCCAGCCACAGGGAGAGATGGTTGAGGAGGAAGAGAGGGTGACACCAAATACCGTTCAGCTTCGCCAATACTAGAAACTAGGGGTGTGCGAATACTCAAATATATGAATACGAATCGAATAGAAAGTTTCAGAATAATTCGATTCGCGAATCGAATTCCTAGTATTCGGTCACTCGAATATTTGCTGTCGGCGCGGAGCTGACAAAAGAGCAGTCTTTTCTCCCGATGTTAGCACTGTGATGTTAGACAGACCATGCGAGAAACACCTCTTGGCCCTATCATTCCACAAAAATCTAACGCCCAGGTTAGAAAAAAGAGTAACGTACTCCAAAAACTTTATAGCACGCAGATTTAGTCATGATCGTGACGCAATCTAACCTCGAATCACAACCGAAACATCCCGTTTGTGCTGCTTCCAGAGAGGAATTGTTGGAAGGCTGGAATTCCGCGCCATGCCTAATTTTTTGCACGAGTAAAGCCCCTCGTTTCAAATTGAAGCGCCGATGTAGAACACACTTGCCGCACTCATAGAAATCGGTGACTGCACGATCACAGAAAGAAAACCACGTTAACCACGCCGATGAAACCAGTCAAGTTATCATCGTCGTTCTTTGGGAACTGCAATCCGCAAATTCTGATTCGGAACGAAACAGAACGGAAAAATAGTGTGCCTAGAGAGGGTTTCCAACCGTTCGATAGCCGCGTTTGAAAGACAAACTATGAGAAGGCAACGAAAAGATGAAAGCGTCATTCGGGATCGGGCAAACAGGGCAGGCGTCGTCGCTCTTTTGTTTGGTCGCCTTCTTTCCACGCAACAACACAACACATGCGCACTTACGACTAATCTGCGCTAGAGCCGTCTCCGTGGTTTCAGTTTTGCTTGCGCCCCCTTTTAAATCTAGGCTCTCTAAAACAGGATAGATGGACGGAGGAATGGATGCATAGTGGCAGTTGGACTGTGACTTGCGCCACCTAACCACATGTTTTTTTTTCTTACTTCAGATTATATTGTTTTGGCCAGTTTAATCAGATTTAACACCTATCTGTTTATTTATGTGAGACAAAATCCCGGTTGCCCTTTTTCTTTGTTAAAGTTGAGACCAAATATTGCAAAATGCCCCTTTTCCGAGATATACAAATATAAAAAAAAAAAAAAAAGAAACGTTGCGGTGTTAGGTTGTGCTTTTAACGAGAAAAAAAGGCAACCGTGGCTGTAACTGGGTTTTTTGTGACGTTTAGGGTAGATAGATTATGTTTCCGCCATAAAATTGGATCTTTAGTGCCCAACGTCCATCAGCAGTTGCTCTTTTTTTTTTTTCACCAGAACTTTTATACATTTGAGCTTTTGTTTTATTCGAGATGTATATTCTGCACCAGGCATATACTCTGCACATATAATAATCTCATTCGCAGCACACTTTGAAATATTCCTAGAAATAAAATCACTATTCGATATTCAATTCAATATTTGTTTTTTTTTTTTTTCTTAATTCGATTCAAAAACAACTATTCGGTATTTGCATACCCCTACTAGAAACTCCTCCGAAAACACATAGGAGCGGCGGCGAACGTGACAGTGGCGCCTCTAGCGGACTCGGAGTCTACGGAAGCAGTCGTCGCAATGGAAAAGTATAGGCTCCGCGACGTCCTCGAGCTTTGCGAGCCCCGTTTTGTCACCCCAACAGCTGGAGCAGTTCATTGTGGTCAGTCCGCTTGCAAAGCGGAATCCACTGATCGCAACTGCAACGACAATCAAATAACATTGCGCACATAAACAAAGGTAGTGCAGTTTATTTAGCAGTCTCAAACATCACTTAGGGGATCACACACGTTTGAAGCGCGTCTGGGTAGGGGAAAAAGGGCTACTCGAACTATGTCGTAAGAGGTTACCGGATGAAAATAAAAAGAAATGGGGAACAGTCGTGGACAACGACAAATGAAACAAAGAAATTAGCAGACAATACAAAGATATAAATCACCGAGCAAAGACATCCTTCAATGACGACCATTGCACGGGGAGTCGGTAGGAGCATTGAAAATGAGGCGGTGGTGGTCGCCGTCGGTGTTGAGTCCACAGCAATCAAAGCAAAAGCAACACAACAAAACTATTAAAAAAAAAGGCTTCTGTTTTTTTCTTTTCTTTTTAGCCGCACGTTACATGTTTGTTTATTTGCTTTCGTGGCATTGGCAGGAACTAAAAACAAAACAGAAAAGGAATAACGTAGCCCAGCTCACACTGCCCGGTAAGTCACATGTTGCAATCTGCTATGTGCTAGCAGTGTGTGACCCTTTTTGCTTTCGCATTTCTTTTCCCAGTGACTTTGGCAAGTTGTTTGTTTGCTCGCTTGACGAAGCAGTTCAAAAGCATATTCAATTACTTGTTGACGTACGGGTCCAGGCAATCCTTGCACACCGTTCCTTTGTTTCGAGTGGCGATCAGCGGCCTCAAAGTATGCCTTCAGCTGAACCCCTGTTTGGTGCAATATATCGATAAATTGTGTGTCGAAGGCACGGCTGATGTTATCGGCTAGGTGACGAGCTAAGTCGTGAGATGGTGTCATTTTCGCATGCGAGTGTTCCTTGTTTTTCAACGGAATGTCTTTCGAGGTGTCCCATGTTTCTGATTGCAGTTGGACTTAGCAAGCATGATGACAGTTTTGACTGACTGCCCACCCGGCTACATAGGACTGAGTGTTCAGTGTGCATCTGGTCTGTCGTCCGTGAAGTTTTCCGCCATATCCGTGGAGTTGTCATAATCGTCTGCTGAGGCATCAGTGTCAATTTTGAAGCCAGACTTAGATAGCTCTTCCAGTTTAATTTAAAGCAACTTAATTACTCACGTTTGTTCGGTCTTCGGGAAGTGGAAAAAGGATTTTTCACCACATTGCGAAAACTTGTTTTTACAGTGGTAGGCAGCACATGGCATGCCTGCCATCTCCAAGTATGCTCTGGTATATGCCCAGAGGCGGCCGATTGGTAAACAAACGATGACCCATAGCAGATATACCCGTGTACACAAATAAAAATCCGAATAGAAATGTATAACGAGCTTACACTTTTTAATATATTTAATAAAAATCAAAAACATTAGAAACTCAATTAACGTGAAAATAGGAGGTTATTGCAGATGACAGTATAAAAAACAATACCAACAACAAAGTTGCAGACGGCCTTCCAGATGTTCGGGTATAAAATAGCAGATGAACCAGCGGGAGTAGCTAAGGAAAGAAAGTAAAAACTAAGCCAAAGAAGTCAAAGCAAAATATGTGATGGTTTGAACATCAAGTAAACAAAAGAAAGCAAAAACAACAACATAAAAGCAGGAGAAAGAAAGATTGTGGCAGTGTCGTATCGCCTCAAACATAAAAAGAAAGTAGACTGAAAAATGGAAGGAGTTCCAGGATTGTACAACGGGTGCCGGCCTTTGTTGTAGAAATCGCAGAAGACTTTATTCATCCCGCCGCTAACAATCGCAATTTGTGCACTGTGTATAATGTGACTGAAATCACCTTTATCTGCGCTACGACGCTCCCCTCTTTTTTCTTTTGCACGCGCAAGAAGTCTGCTTTTTTTGTAAGTCCGCTTTTAGTAGTTTCAGTATTAGCGTCAGATTTGCATGTGCACTATCGACTTCTTCCAGAGCATACTGACATCGCAGTAACATACATGGTTCAAGATTGCCTTTTGCTTCTTCATCTGGAGACAATATTAACGGGATTAACCAGCTTGCTTATTCAACAAAACGGTTTTAAGCAATACATTCATGAGAAATGGGAATTGCAACAACAAAATGAATTGATCGATAAGAACAGTAAAGTTGAAACTTAGCTATGTATGTTCTGAAATTTTTGTATATTGCCCTTTTTCAAGAAACAGGGCGAAGGTACATTTGTGTTTTGCCTGGCTTGCATAAGTTCTGACAGTGTTTTCTTGAGGAGAGCCCTGAATTTGCACTCTGAAAGCTGTAACATCTTTCCCACGCGAAGAAAATGTCCTTCACTCATGAGATGGCACCTACTTTTTAACATTTAAAGCAGCGAATACCCATGAAAAATTTTTTTTTTTACTGGTCACCTTGCAGGGAGGTAGCCAAAACCAATGCATTGTGGAGAATTCGTCTGCTTGCGGAAACTCCGAGCTTGCCAGGCGCGCTGCGGTCACTTTTTGCCCGTGCTCCACGGGAGTTGCCAGTATTGGCTTGCATGGTATTTGGTAACACGTACGACGCTCCCATTGGTCCGAAGCGCTGGCGTCAGCACGCGTCAACCTCTCCCCCTCTCTCCTTGTAACTGACAAACTGAAAGACACCACCGGGTTTTCGGCAAAACGAGCCCTTTAATTTTCTACCAAAGTCACGCGCACAGCTGGCACGGAGCCAGAGAGAAGGAGGCGCCGTGCAACACCCCCTAGATAACAAAGCCTTGTGCTAAATGAGATTGCTTCATCAGAGAAGACCAATGCTGGACACAAATTGGAAACAAGCGCTGCGTCAGCACTTGGCTTCGAGTCAAGTTTAAACTTTGAGCCGAACATTGACGTAGTCGTTACGTCCAATCTGGGCCCAGCGTTGGCCTTCTCTGATGATACCATCTTATTCAGCTCTATGTACTGCTTTGTTATCTAGGAGGTGTTGCACCGCGGCGTGGTGGAATGTGGGCGCAGTGGCTTCACCAGGGCCAGCGGCCCCCAAGGTGGTAGCCCGCCGCGCCAACCCCCCCTCCCTTTCACTGCCCAGCTGCACCCCCACAAGCACTGCACCCAAGGCAATCTACCCCCGCCCTGCCCTTGTAATGCCACTGTGCACGTATGCACAGTTGCTGCACCGGCGTTGCCGGTCCTTCTTTGCTCTGGGTTTCCGTAGTAGCAGTGCGTGGGCTGTGATTATGTGTGTGCAGTTAAAACAAGGGATGCAGTTCCTTCCATGAGTGATATGCATGCGGTGCGGTTTCTTTCATGAGTGATATGGATTTGGTTCTTTCCATGAGTGATATGGATGACCATATCCAAGGGTGTGGACATACTCTGACAGGCATAGGATAGAAGAGGAGTAAAAAAATTACAGGGAGATCCGTTGGTGGATTCTTAGGAAATCCGTTAGCATTACCCTTGGGAGACGGCCCACATGTCCCCCTTTGGGAAACGCTAACACTGGCCGCGTAACAAGGCCAAAAAGAGGCAGCAAAAAGTAGAGGAAGCAAAAGAGAAAGCCAGAAGAAAAAAAGTAAAGGGGACTGCGTTAGAGTTTCCCAAAGGGAGACATGTGGGGCGTTTCCAAGGGTCATGCTAGCGCATTCTTTAAGAATGTACCAATGGACTGGTAAAGGCGAGCGGGTTGAACATGAATACATAAAATTGAAAGAATAAAACACGGAGGACAAGCTCCCCTCCCCTCCCCCCCTCCGGCCCCGCCTTTTCACTATCCAGCTGCACCCCCATGAGCACTGCACCCAAGGCATGTGGTTGTCCTGAACGTGGTTGTCCTGTGCTTGTCCTCCATGTTTTATTCTTTCAATTTTATGCTACCAGTGGATCTTTCTGGAATTTTCTGGTTCATATATAACAAGCGGATAAACTGTGAAATGATCGGGATGTTAAATAAAAGGTTGGGAATGCAAACATTGCTTCGTTGATGTCTCTTGACCGGTGTGAGCTAAGAAAGTTTCTGGCCCCTTTTGACGAGATACACGGATTTCCCAATCAACTGAAATTTTATGACCCGGCATTCAGCTCCTTTGTCTATATAAAACATGGGAAACAAGCCATGAAAAGCAGTGGTGCCACATTCTGTGATGTTGGTCACAACCAAGCAAATGTTACATGCGGCCTAATAGCTGATGTTGTACTTCGAGGAGTTCTTTTGCATTCCGCATCACTTAAAAAGTCATAAAAACTGCAGCCGACTGCACATTTGTTTTCAGAAAATGCATGTTGAACCGCGACGCCACCTGCAAGCAAAATATTTGTTTGACCACCACTTTCATTCACTTTCTACTCTGAACTCCGAAGATCCAAAGTTTGAGATGTCAAAATAAGGAGAAACAAATATTGTTGCGGGGAACGTCAAAATGATTTCGAAAATATTTTTACATCTTCAGGAAGTGGCATCACAAACGTTAAAATGATATTTAGAATTATTTGAGTGTAGACATCGAAATAGTCACTACCCAATGGCAACTTAGCTAGCAAACTTGGCTCTCTTCATTCAAAGTTTTCAGGGCAACTTTGAAAAAGCTAGATTCTTTTTTCTTTTTTTTTGTGCTTTATTATTGGGCATTTTTTAAATTTGACTGCCCTGTCCTTTGTTTAAGAATTCAGGGAGAGAATCCGTTGTTTAGGTGAAATTCACCTTGTCAACTTCGTCCACTCCTTTCCTTGCCAGATCCAAGATGTGGCCTTTTCCCTGGACAGTAGGTGGATAGCAGTGAGCACCTTGAGAGGGACATCCCATATTTTTCCTATCACTCCTTATGGAGGTAAGTTTTCTTTTTATCATCAACAAAGATTTTTGAAAAAGATATGCTAGCTGCAGCAGGATTGTGTAGCTTACATGAGTAAGAGCATAAAGAACAGAGCTGGAATAATTTGTTTCAAATAAAACAAAAAATGAGGTTGAGTTTTTTTTTTTTTTTATACGCTTCTGCTTCTATACTGTTTGTTTCTGGTCGCTTGTGTCTAGTCATATGCTTTCAGTATGAACTCTGCCACTTGCCATAAAGTAACCTTCATGAGCAAAGTGTGTTTTGTACCACCACTGTACCTATATACTCGTTTTCATTTCAAGGAAAAAGGAAATTTTGCACATTGTTCATACGCTGCGCATACTTTTTTACAAGATTTGGTTGTCAGAGGAAGAAGCGATGCTTTTGGCATTTGAAACGCATACGTCTTAGTGAGATAACGTATATTGATCTAAAGCGCACATGGACGTGTCTTATTTTTTTTACATAAAGGGGGAAATTAGCAATGCTACGTGAGGAGCCGGACTTTTTTTTACTACAGTTCTTGAGCTGAAAACGAGTAGTGTGCCGTAATTTCCCAAGTCATCGCCCATCCCTTTTTTTGGACGAACATTCATTTCCAAAAAAACACCGAACACCGAGCGATCACCTGCCCCTACAAATACTTAATGCGGCCGCGGACCTTAAGGCTGGAGGACGTCCGTGACAAAGTAAAAAGAAGGAGGGAAAGAAACTTCACTTTGTTTACGCATTTCCTCCCCGATTTCCACGACCCCGAAGTTGAGTATGTGCATGCAAAAGGAAAAGAATGGTGATAACAAAATAGAACTCTTTGTTTTGCTTACAAGTAAAATTTGTTCGGAAAAAAAAAAGTCACAAAGATAACACCCATTTAGGGATCACAAGATCCTGGAATGTAACCGTGGAGTGTAAGGTCAAAGTCCATCTCCACCGAAGTAATAAGGTCACCGCAAACCCGCTCCTTCTACCAGGACATCGCGACTACGATTGGGAAGGTTGTGCGATGTTTGAGGTAAAGCCAGCGGGTAATTAAAGATTTTCTGGAACGGCGCACACAGACATTTGTAAACCGTCCCATTTTGAGCTCCATTTTCACGGTTCCGTCCACGCCGTGCAGCAATGACGCCTCAACTCGTGTTGATAGCATGCTGCACTCGGACGCACGGATGTATGCACCAAATAAGAAAGTTGCACAAGAGCCTGCTCCTTGTGATTGACAAGGTGTCCTATGTGGCCTGACGCCAAGTATTTGCTAACGTGATCGCCGGTTTTCCTGTTTTCCCAGCATTGCTCTTCGTCGCTTCTTTCGCCCATTTGGTCGCTCGCTCATTGTGCCTAAATAATATTTCTGTTTTCTTGTTAATCTTCTTTTTTTTGTACTAACGAGGAGAACATTGCAGTGTTAGAAGCATACTTTCACAAATCAAATGTTTGCACTGTATGCCAATTGGTGCTGTTTATCGCCCGGATGCAAAAACTGGACTTTGCTGTAGCAAAACATTCTCTCATGAGCATTTCTTGCATAAAACAACAAAACTAACTCGAGTTTTCAGTTTTATGTATTTCTTGTGCAGCCGCTCAAATATGTACAAAAAAATGGGCGTTTTTTTTTTTAATCTTTTTTAACTTTTTGTGCTTTTTCACAGAGACTCCACTTTTTAATGAATTTCAGGAGGGGGGTGGGCGATGGCTCGGGATATTACGGTAGATGTATTTTAAAAACTTATTTTGTGCCTTATAAATGAACAGTACATTATAAAAAACCTATACATGTCCTAAGATCTGCGATAAATCCTATATTATAAAGTCACATTGGAACTCAAGTCATATGTTAGAGGTAAAATTCGCAAATAGTTGGTGAGAGTCTGGCGTCTCCAGAGGCCATCCAGAAAGGTGGAGGTAGGGTCTGCCACTAGTGAGAGGTGTAGAGTCGCTGCATTTCATGCGTATACTTCAACAAAGAATTGAGCCAGTCGAGCTCTTTGATTGGCTGACATGCGTCGTCTAGAATCCTGCAGAAATGAGTAAGATACGGACCTATAATTGACACGGGAGCTCTGACTGAGGGTGCAGGACCCCGGGATACCGAAATTATCTGCCTTAAATAGCAGATGAATCTGGACAATCATATAAAAGTATGTGAGTTATTTATTGAAGGACCTGGATTGATTTAGCTCTTTGACGATCAAGTTTTTTTTCCCGAAAGAGGTTTCTCAGTGGTCGTATTTTGTTTTCAAAGGAATAGGTCAATGCACATTTTTTTTTTTTCGTAATTATCTAGTAGCATCGCATATGGCACTTTCAACCTGTTTGGATAAAGAAGCATCAAATGGAAATCCTGAAGGTGAAACGTTATCACCTTTCTTCCATTCGATTTCGTTCTGGCGCGTCCACTTCCGTGGCATTCCAGAGTTTTCACATTTTGAACTGGAGGTACTTTACAGAGCTTCTCCGTCAGACGGCAAGCTCTTGTACTCTAAATTCTATTCCGAGAAGCGTTAAAAGCCAGAGTCTTAAGAGACGGTGCTCGATTGCCATTACCGCCAGAGCAGCCGATATGCGAAGCGACCGTCTCGCGCGCATCACGTGTGCGGAGCGTAAATATCCGCAGAAAAGCGGGACACCATGCTAATATAATGTTTATATACATGATGACTGAAACCTGAGACTGTGGTTTGAAAAACGGAAACTCGAGAAAAAGGAAAAAAAAGCGACAGACAACGTTGTCCTGAGTTTCAGATGTTGTCTGTTCCTTCTTCCTTTTTCGCAAGTTTGTTTTTCAAACCACAATCTCAGGTTTAAATCATCATGTATAACTTAAACCAGCTCACCTGCACTTTAACTGTTTTTTTATAATGTTTATAGTTTGCCAAGGACAAAACAAATAAGCTACACCGCCCGCAGTTTCGTGTTAAGGGAGTTAACGTGTAAACGCTGCCATACATAAACTGCGACGATTGTCAAAGGGTTAGCAAACCATTTTAATGCGATAGCATTACTAAGCTACTCACCACAGATTTCTGTCTATCTGGAATCTGGCCTCGAATACTTTCCTCGCTAAATTTGGCGAGAAAATTTTCCACTAAATTTAGCGGAAATATTTTCTGCTAAATTTAGCGGAAAAATTGACGTCACATGACCTGCGCACCAGTTTAGTTTCCCTGCTAAACTTGGCAAAAAAATTTACGCTAGCGGAAAAATTGACGTCATATAACCTACGCACTAATTCAGCCCCCCCTAAATTTAGCGGCAAAATTGTTATCACATGACTTATGCACTAAGTCAGTTTCCCCGCTAAACTTAGTGGAAAAATTGATGTAGGATTGAATTGTTGTGAATTCAGTCTACAGGCTCCACTTCTTGGTCAATCGAGACTGAAGACCTGTTCATGTGTGCAACGAAGAATTCCATCGCATTCATAGATAATCACCCCTGTGGTCTCTACAAATTCTTTCTAGTTCGAGCACTGCCATATGATTGCATGTAAGGGCCGCACCCTCCATATCTGGGCCATATTAATTTAAAAAAAGGATTTAAGTATTATGTGTGTATTAGCCAGGCTAGGCTACAAGGCCCTGCTGACAGTGGGATCGGCGTTGCGTTGTTCGGTGTTCCAGGCCCCATCACCCGACGGACCCACACCTCTCCCCGAGTTGTGAACCGGCTGAGCAGGTTTCACAAGAGCGCGGGCCTGGAAGAGATCCAGTCGGCCCCCTCCACGGGCCGCAACAGCCCTGTGCTCTCTGGAAGCCCCAGCTCTTCGAGTGAGCTCTGCGGTTCTTGTGTCCTACATCGCCTCTTGCCCAGTTCCTATGTGTGGATTGCCGCTGAGTGTAAACCATTTTGAGACAAGGGTGAAGATAGAAACCCGGTATTTCGAGGGAAGGGGGAAGACTAAAGAAATGTTGCCTACTTACAAATTAATGCTAATCGGTGGAAGTGTAGCCATTTGGGCTCTCCTCCAGTATTTTACGATAACTTTCTACTTCCCATTGCTTCAGGTTGCTGTTGGCACAAGTAGTCTTAATAAGTTTTTATCGACTGAGAGGTCTCGCAATGCCGAACTGCTAGTGCCTCTCGTTGCTTTTATTATATTCACACAAAGTTTGGGCAAAGAGCTTGAGAGCAGATGGGGTCATCATCCATTCAGCTTCCAAATACTTGTTCAAGTAGCCACATATATACTTTAATGTTTGAACGAAAAAATATCACAGAATTCTAAATTATCGCAAATTTAAACAAGTTGCTCGCATGATAAGCAGCAAGCACGAATGAAGAGAAATAACCCCCATATACCGGGAATAGAACATTTTCTTTGTACAGCACTGCACAAGTTCTCAAACAGGGTTTGTAGGGTTTCTCAAGCTTCCCCACTTTTCTCAAGAACTCGTACCGTTTGCGAACTGTATTTTAGCCTCGGCACAATTCAAGCGAAGCGGAGCCACGCGTGATGTACGACCATGCACCTGACACTTTCACCTTTTCTACCAGAGTGCACAGTATCGTCAACAAAGTTTGCGCGAGCTCACAGATTGTTTCGTTGCAAAACCGTCGTAAAGACAGGGCTTTGCTCGGCTCGCATTCGAAGCGGCCGAAGGCCAGTTCGCACGTTCGTGTTCGAGTGTGGACGAGCACGCCACGCCTGCTTCCGACCGCCCACGACAAGAGAACACACCGTCGCAGTGGTGCCATCTATCAGGCAGCCCCAAGACATTTCCGACGTGCGTATAACTGGACCGAAGGTATCGTGGAATTCGCAAAATAAAATCTATGCACTACTTTTGAGAGACGTTCGTTCATAACATTGTCAGAATTATCTTGTGGTTACGGCGAAAGATTGACGCGTAAAAGATTGGGAAATATACACGCAGGTGGGAAGTGCTTTAGGTCTAGTGGATAGATCGCGCTGGTGTGTTTTTTCGTCGTAGGCGGCCACAACCGACACCAACTAGAACGATTGAGGCCCGCGAACAATTCTCTTCTGCTACGGAACATTGTGGCAGTCGAATGGTGCCGACTCGGCAATTTTACCCAAGCCCAATGCCGAGAGTCCTTCGACGCAGCGATTGGACACGACGCCCAGCCGAACGCTGACATGGCACTCGTGTCCTCTCTCTGCGACGACGTTGAAATTCTAGTGCACAGGCTGGGATTATTCTGGACGGTGCACAACGCGCTTGGTCATGCTCGAACACGAATGTGCGAACCAGTCTTAAGGGAGGACACTACCCAAAAGGGTAAACTTTTGAACCTTTGACTAAATATAAATTATATAGTGGCACTTGCAAGGCAGAGTGCAGTGTGAAGTTTCATCTGTGTACATGAATTGTGGAAGAAATTATAGTTGTTTTTATCAGAAGCACACTGACATTGATTATGAAAACTATCGTTAGAGTACTAATGTAGTACCCAACATTTTTCTTCACTAGCAACGCAGCAGAATGCTTAAATAGTGCAACTTTTGAAAACAAAATTTCCAAAAGTAATTTATTTTATGCTAACATTACGCCGGAAAATCAAATAAATGTATTGCCTTTTATGTCGTCTACAAAATCTTAACATCTTTTATAAAATACACCTACAAAGTAAAAAAAGAATGACACAGTTGCATTGCCCATTCAATTCCAGTTAGGAAAGACAAGCGAGCCTTTCTTTTTGTCCCTTTACCAAACTCTAGTTTGAATCAACTGAAACTTATGCCAAAAAGTGGAACGGAGAAAAACGTGTGTAGTAGAGTAGGCTTCGTCTGTGTCGGAAGTCCCCCCGACAATGAGGCATGCTTTGTTCCAGGCTCGTCTAGCAGCACCCTGGAGAAGTATGCGTGCGGCCTGGGCCGCACGGGCAACCCGCGACCGTTCCCGTCGCCCACGGTGGTGGTGCCCCTGTCGCAGATCAAGCAGGGGGTGGGCTTCTCGGTGCCCAGCATCGGGAATCCCTCGGTGCCTCGCAGCCCCCCTGCCAGGGGACGCAGGGTCAGCGGCTCCGCGTCCAGTGCGGGGGAGGCCTTCAGCATCGCCGCAGCCTTCGCCCCTCCCCGCGCCTGGCTGGTGGGCAGCCCCAGCACTGCACGCGACAAGAAAGGTAAACTGCCCTCGGGTCACTTTATTTTTTTTCTTTGCCGCGACCCACTTGAGAAACACCGAAGCTTTTTTGCCGGTGCCCATGAAACGACTGTATAAAGAGATGTCATCTCGTTGCTCTGGGTCCGCAGCGCCCGTTTTGAAAAGGTGGCTCGTGGATTACGTGTTGATTAGAGCATGCGTAAAAGTTAGAAGTTGTGTCTTTTTATCTGTTGATCAAACTGTCGTATGCAGAATTAAATTTTGTGACGAACACAACGAACATAGACTTGTCTCGGTCTTCCCCGCCTGCGACCCCGTGTCAGTGTCGCGGGCCTGGTTGTTTTTGAAGCTTGTGCATCTGTTTGTTTGTTTTTTTCTTTTTCTCATTGTTTTTGTTGCTTTCACAATTGCCTTGTGTGGCACACTTCTCTTTTTGAGGCTAAATCAAAGTTAGCTTCAGGAAGAATTCAATTCTGCATTAAAAGTGACAAGTTGAAAGTGGCTACATAGACACTTTCCAAGGATTTCTGTGTCAGCATTTGCAGTTGTCTGTCATAGCGGCGGAGATAAAAAAAAACCCTTCTTTTTTCCCATTGTGGCCTGAGGAGAAAGAAGTCAGGTGTTCCCATTGGCTGCGCCACGCGAAGTGGGAAAAGAGAAGGACCCCAACGACTTTCCAATAACAGTGCGACGACAAAGAAGCGTAGGCGGAGCCTCTTCTCCCGTTGTCTGTTAACGATAACTTCAAAATGGGCATTTTCAAACGTTACTCGCATTATAAGAAATTTCTTTTTGGCAAGTATTCAGTAGCTACACGTAACGTTGGAGGGTTTTAAAAACTTCCACTATGTTCGATTTCAGAAAAACGTTTCTACTTCTCGAACCCAACTCGAAGCATAAAAATATATTCTACCCAAAACTCGTCGCCTTACGCCCGCCTTCTCCACAGAGCTTTGCCTCGTTGACTGCATGCGCCCCCCTCTCTGCTTGTTGCCGAACGAGATGTCATCAATGATCTCGTGGGCAACATTAAGTTCAACATCGTCATCATCTTTCTTCCATGCACTAGCTGAAATGGTATCACTGCAGTGGTGTCCGGAACTGCGTTGTTGTAGGCAAACATGACATAGGGTAACACCTCGTTCAGCATCTTGCGCTCTACATTGACATTGTGGTGGCGATGGTCCTGGCAAGCCGCTTTGTTAGCCCGTTGGTCTGCGGGTGGTAAGCAGCACTTCAACGGCGGCTGGTGTGGCTGAATGGAAGGAACTCTCGCTTCAGCTGCACCAAAAATGCCGTTCCTCGGTCTATAATTAAGATTTCTGGTGCTCCGTGACGGAGAACGATGGGCTCAACAAGAACTTGGCAACTTGCACCGCAGCTTCATACGAAAGGGATTTCGTTTTGACTTATCTTGTAAGATAATCTGTGGCGACGATTATCTGATTATTATCCGTCGTTGGTGTTGGGAATGGATCGAGCAAATCTATTCCAATCTGCTAGAATGGTTAGGTCGGTGGAGCAATTGGACGCAAGGCAATTGCCAGCGACGCAAAGCAATTGCCAGCGACGCAAGACAATTGCCTTGCGTCGCTGGCACTCGTGACACAATCACGCATAGAGATGGACGGACTTCGGAAGCTTGGGCCAGTAGTACTTCTCATGGCGCCTGGTGAGCGTCTTGCTGTAGCCAAGGTGTCCGGCCGTCGGTACGTCGTGGCAAGCTTGAAAGATTTTCTCTTGAAGGTTGATGGGGATTACCAGCAGCCACGCCGAGTTGTTGTCCCCAAAGTTCTCTTAGTAGAGTACACCTTGTCGAAGAGCAGAAGTTGGCAGGACTCGCGAGAAGACACGCGGAACTGTGCTCCCTCGTTTTCTAGGTGCTCGATCAGTGCGCATAGTTCAGGATTGCGTTGTTGAAGAGCTGTCATTTTGTTGAGGTTAACTGCGCCGAGAAAATGCTCGTTGTCATCGTCGTCGGTGATGGCAGGAGCGGAAGCGACGGGGCTTCTGAACAGAGGGTCGGCATCGCCGTGCTTGAAGCCAGACTTGCGCTCTACGTTCACATACATTGAGATCGGTCATATAGAATTCCTGAAGCCGTAACACAGTGGCACAGCCCGATGGGTCCTTCAGGTTGACCAGCCTGCAGAGTGAGTCATGGTCTGTGACCACTCGAAGTGTGCTCCCGTACAAGTACGGGCGGAACTTGATGATTGCCCAAACGACAGCAAGACACTCCTTCTCGGTCGTCGAGTGATTGTTCTCTGCCTTTGACGGCGTACAGCTAGCATAGGCAATTACTCATTTTGTACCCTTTTGTCCCACATATCGTATTGCTGGTGTCCGTGTGATCTCTGCGGACTGATTGAAGTGGCCGAAGATCGGTGGCGACTGAAGCCTTTGCTTGAGTTTGTTCAATGCTCGCTCCTACGCAACGTGACGAACCAGTGATGAACCAATACTTGATGAGTAGAACGTGGAGGGGGGGGGGGGGCATGGGCAAGCAAGTTTTGGCTGTGACTTTGGTTCGTTAGCCAACACATGGAGAAGTTTCTCCCGTTTCTCACTAGGTTCCTCGAGGAAAGATGCGAGCCGCTAACTGGAATTTGAGCGGGTCATAACCAGTTGGCTCTGGTCCACTTTAACGTGAAAAACATTGGCTAGGTGTTGAAAGACATGGTTCGGTTAACATGGCTTGGTTGGGGTTCGGGGGAGCAAAAACGGGACAAAGCATTGTCGCACAAGCAGGCAGGTAAGACAGCGAGGCTATAAAAGTGGAATCTGTCTTGCCTAAATTGGGACATCTGTTTCATCTGTTGTGCACCAACTTCTCTAGACTATGGTGAACTTTACTAGACATATAGGCCTGTGATGTGTGTGTGTGGTGTGGTGTTCTAGAAAAACCTTCAAAGTTCATTAAAGAAAAAGTAAGTGCTTCAGGTTACAGATTTAATGGTAGGAGTTCTTTTAGCATGGTGCAAATGTATGATGAGTCAGAAAACACTATGGCTATCGCTGCCACTTCACTTGCAGTATGCTGCAATGAACCTGTGAATATATATTAAATCAATCTTTGGCAATAGATCATCTGTTTGCATTATAATTTGTTGAGTACTGTCTGGGATATATCTATTCTGTATTAATATCATTAGAGCCATTGGTGATCAGTTAATGAGATTTTTTTATTAGTGTTTGGGATCCTCTATTACAGTAGACTCATTAATTCAAACTCCAGGAAGCCACGAATTTTGTTCGAGTTATCAGAAGTTTGAATTATCAGTAATTCATGTAAATATGATGTGGGATAAAATTATAATTTGCCATATGAATGGCTACACATACGAAGCAGATATTTGATAATTTCCTCCCCATAAGCCTACTGACCATAAGTAGGTATGCCAGACATTAAATGTTTGTAAAATGTATGACATAAGTTTATTTATCCCTCAAAAATGTTTTTTTTTTTTTTTTTTTTTTTTTTGTGAACTGTTTAGACAACACATGACAACTCAAAACAAAATTAAGTTTGTTCATCAGGCCAAGAAGTCGTCTAATCTGGACTATTAAGCAGGGGACACTTGAGCAATGAAAATGGGCACTGCGCAGCCGTTTTCATTGCAACTTGTGCGGACGCTATGACATGTGCCTTTGCCATACCGCCACGTCACAGCGTCCCCATCAGCTGCTATGAAAATTTTGGCGTAGTGCCCGTTTTCATAGCTCATGTGCGCCCGCTTGAGCCCTGTTGAGTGCGCTTCTCATCGAGCACCGTTGCGCTGCAGAGAAGCAACATCCGCGGAAGCAAGCTCTGCAGGTGTTGCCTCTCTGCAGTGCACCGGTGCTCGGAAAGAAGCGCACTTGACGGGGCCGCGAGAACAAAAAGTCTAAATTCCACAAAAATGCCGGTCGAAATAAGCGGCTTATGAATGCACTACAAGCGTACCAGAAAAAACAAAATTTTGAAGTTTCCTTGAATTAACCGGCTGTGTGAAACATTTGAGTTTGAATGATCGCGAGCCTACTGTACTTGAGTGTGGCTGTTGCTAAACTATCTGTGATATTTTGTGCAAATAATGAAGTTAGTGAATATTGTTGTCATCTTGGCAGAAAAAAACCCTGTCGACTCCCTGTTCATTATGAACTGCAATGGCATCCTGACTGAATACATCATCGATCCCCGCCCCTGCACCGCCGGAAACAAAGTTAGCGAGGACTCGCCCATTGAATTGGACGTGACTGCCTATGCCCAGTGGAACCTGCTCAGGCAAGTCTGTCTTCCTCTTCTGTATCGTTAGACCACTAGCCTCCATCATGAAACAAATAAAGAGAAAGACAGACTACTGGCATTCACAAAAGCCTTTGCGCATCTGGCTTTGTTGTGTTTGTTTCGTGCCTTTGTATTTTACAGATCAGTAACGTGCTCGGATAATTTTTTGGCTAAAATTTATGCCCGAGCTGCAAATTTTTTTTGATCACTTTTATGGTAAAGCTTTGCACAATATTCGTGCAGATCACCTTATTTTCCGTATGCAGATTTTTTTTGCCTTTCATAGATGGTGTGCTTACGTGGGCCCTTAAAGTTGACTAAATGCAGCAACTTTGCAACTGTTACTCACTGTGGCAATTTCTGTGTGCCCTTAAAATTAATGAAAAGTGCCTACCTGCAAAGTTCATGAAATTTGTTGTTCATCTGGGTTTCAGAATTAAGGCAAAGTAATTAGAGGAATTGGCACCAAAAGATATGTCAGAAAATCCAGAATTTTGATGTTTAATGTCCATGTGCCAGAACTTATTATTCGTTTTTCATAAAAGTAGCCATCATTCGTCCCTGCATAATCACTTACCATCACTTCTCGCATATTTCCAGTTGCTTAGATCACTGAAACCAGATTAACATTCATTCCTTGCACTTCTGTAGAATGGAACCACCTCTGCTACCAAATGTCAATCGTTCCCAACCAAGCTACTTTCAAAAATTCTTTTTCTGATTTTTGTTTCCAGAGCAACCATAGTTGAGCGTTTAGTGTGTCATTATGCTCTCTGCGTTTTATTGTACCACTTCTCTCTGCAATGTCGTATGACCTTGAGTATAAATAAGTAAACAAATTGGATACTAACGTGACAGCATTGACGTCACACTTCAGGCCACCTTCGAGTCCTGATACAAAGCAACCCCTTGGCAGCAGCAACCCCCTCATGACGACTCAGCAGGCTCCCAGTGCACCTGTAACAAAGCGTTCATTCAAAGGTGACAATCCCTTTGATTTGTCGGCTCGTAGCGCAAGGCGCATTGCTGCGTGCGTGCTAAGAGAAATGTAAACGGCGTGGTTTCTGCAGACGTCAACGGAATGAATCGCATGGACGGAAGCGGAGGGGACTATCGTCACCAGGCGAACGATGACAGCTGGCTCTCACAGGTAACGGCGGCAGCCATTCGCTCGTCGGGCATTTTAGGCGGCTCCGAACTAAGGGCGTGCGGGTGTCAAAAGAACTTGAAGGGGGATGAAGCACGTGTGTACTAATAGCGTAAATTGCTTTCGAATACAAGTGTGTGCAGCTACTTTTTGCACGTTGATAGGGTTAATAATAGTAACTGTAGTCTGACAGGATTAGGATGGCAGGGAGGAGTTCCAGTTGTCTTGCCTCCAGAGCGAGCTTCATACCTGTGGTAACGGCGTCGCATGAGCCTCGAGCGAGCACGTGCTGCCCTGTGGAAGGCAACGAGTGGTGCTGGAGGCTGGGCCTTCAAAAGAGATGCCATGTTCCCATCCTGTTAATTACCATAGCGCAGATTCTTACACTTCAAGCAGACATTCTGCTTTATGTTGAGGAGCTGGGTGTTTATACTTCCCTGATGGTAAGGGTCTCCAATGTTCCGTTAACTTACCAGTGTTGTTTTACAAGTGTAGTTTTCATGTTAACACAGAGCGTGTTTTATCAGCCGATTTCCATGGAGTCCTGCAACGGCCGGTTGTAGCGAAAAACTGACACTGAAAAGCGTTACGCCCTTAGGAACCCATATAAAGAGACTTCGGTCCCCCAGCAGGATTTGAACTTGCCACCTTGAAATTGTGAGCCAAGTGTTTCACCATCTGAGCTGTCCAGGCTTGCTGGTACGGATCACGCAAAAGCGAGCTCATTCGCGCGGCACACGATTGAGTTTGCACTCCTTGCGGCCTTTCCAGTTATGTAGCACCCTCTCGCCGAGTGTGCCGGAAGTGAAAGCGAATCTTTGGTAGGCGGTGCCATTGAGATGCCCTTCTCTTCCACCGTGGAACGCCTATTACGCATTCTGTGCTTACCGGTCTTCGTCAGCATGATCAGGCTTGTATACCAAAAAATACTGGAGGAGCGCCTACCTTATTTTCGCCGAAAACAGGCTTAATCTACACATAAGTGTCTGGTCAAATCGGGCAGTGAACGTATAATTTGCAGAATTCCCAAGTTTGGGAAATGTTAGTAGTGGGCGCTTAATTGAAGTGGGCGTTTCCGCAATGTTTTATGATAATTGTTTTTGTTGTTTTCAGGTGGAGATCATAACTCATGTTGGGCCTCATCGGAGGCTATGGATGGGGCCTCAGTTTTCTTTCAAGATCATCAACGTGCCAACAAATACGACCACACCAAATATGTCTGTCCCTATGTCGCAGAGCCCAGAGAAATATGCAATGCTCTCCTCCGACATGTACGGAGAGGACTCCGACGTCCAGAGTCCGGGGTGAGCCCTGCTACCTGCGCGCTCCCAGCCTTTGAGAAATGCCTTTCTCTATGGCCCTGCTGCTGTAGATGGGCAAGTAGAAAACAACTCTGCTGCAAAGTTTTACACAGGTGCACTCCCGGAAAACAGTGACAAAGGGTTGTCACCTCCGTTTCTTATACTTGATACTTGTGAGGTCCTATTGTTGTATAGGGTACGACTATACTAACGACCAACACATTTGGCTTACGTTGCAAATCCCAATTGCAAATGTACATACCTGAAATTGGGCACTTGAATGTAGCTCCGCAAGAAGTTTTGTCTATTTTTCTCAAAGTTCAACTCTGAAAGAGTGAAATGTTGAAAGTGAGGAAAAATCAGAGGCCGTGTATTTCGTATCTCTTAAACCAAATTGTTAATATTTTCAGTGGTTTTTTAAGAGTGAATGTTTCTGAGTCCTGTTAGCTTCACCATTAGTAAGAACAATCTTCTCGTTGGTTTTAGATTCAGCGGTCCAGTGTCAGTTCCCATGGCAGTGCCATCTATGAGCACTTACTTCTCGGACAACGTGTTTCCTCCCCTGCTGATTGAGGCCACTTCTGGTAAGCTTTCAACCACTCTGCTGCTTTTTATTCTTTTTTGACACGACTGTGAGGAAGAGAATGCTGTAGTTTCAATCAGAAACTTTGTTCGGTGCTCCTTACAGTATACCTAGAGTCCCTTGTTTTTGGATTTTATATTTTTCTAAGGTCGTGGGGGGTTAAAAATCTACCGTTTTTTTCCAAGCTTGTAATCGGAAAAATCGTTTTTTTTTTTTTAAGTTATCTTGAAATTCAAGTTTTCCAGGTCATGTTTAGAAATATTTAAGGATAATTAACAATAAAGAGCATTAATCTGTTTCAATATATAAATTTTCTTCTTTTTTTTTACATTTAAGTTACACTCAAGATAGCAGCATTGAAACTTTATATAGGAGCTCATTTGGGCTTTTCGATTTTTCATAATTCTTGTTGCTTACATAATATTCTGCATGCACAGCATCTCTGTATCCATTCAAGCCCTGTCTGGTTTTTGGACATATCTGAATTAAGAGAACATTCTCTCAACATCACAGCTTATACATACATTTGCAATGCACAACAATACCACTTCAACAGGCACAAAATATCTGCTGTTTCTTTCGACGCAAAGTTTTGAGAGTACCGTATTTACACGATTGTAAGTCGACTCGATTATAAGTCGACCCCTCACATTGCACATCAGCAAAAAAAAAAAAAAAAATCTTTAGATGCGCATTTTGCTGCAAGCACGAGGGAACGGCAAAGTATCTGTTTCGAAAGCCCAGCCTCCAACACGCGATCGATGCCTTCTGGCGTGCTTTGGCTGCGCTTGCACGCGTGAGGTGCATGAGATGCTCAGGCATTATCAAAACTAGGTAGTTCATGCTGGAGGCAGGAAAACTGAAGCTGCTCCCATTTCTCACTTCGTCCGCGACTAGATTACGACTCGTCCGCACTGGTGATGTCAGTCCCGTCATAATCACTGCCACATTCTCGAAGCATGTCGTCAGAGTCGTCCAACGAAATCTCGCACTTCGCAAATGACAGGATCAACCGCATCTTCCGCGCTTTCTCAGCGATCGCGTTGGACGTCACGGGTAGGGACCGATTGCACACTTTTGCGCCGTATGTTGCAAGCCTGACCTCCAACTCCGGAAGGCATCCCCCTCCTATGTAGAGTTTGGCCTGAAAGATGTTTGTTGGCACAGTTTAAGATCCCGAGCCATTGTAGACTCCACTGGAGCATCACCTGCTCCGACGGGTCGAATTTGCGTCCACCAGCGCACTTGTTGGTTGCTTCTGAGTGAAGAATGGCCATAAACGAGCACCAAAAACCCAAACTGCCCGGATCAAGCGCGTCATTACAAAATAAACGTAGTTAGCGCTCCAGCATGACCTCAACACTCGATCAAACGATGTGCGACCGTGAATCACGCGAAAAACTGCGAAGAGAAGCCGTGGCTTGAGTTAGCCATGAGGCTGTTCCAGCGGCCTCCGGAGTGGCTCTTACAAAAAGTGCCGCCACCCCCCGGGAGTCGGGCGCGCCGTGCGCTGTTCACCGCCGTATATTCGGGTTAATTTGCGAATCGCTATCAATAATACTCGTTCGTGCAAATAAAAAAATAATCAATTTGTAAAATTAGTGCTAAGAATAGTCCAATGCTAGAGGTACAGCCGGCTGAACTCGTAACAAGCCGAGGTGTTCATGATATCGCGATTGTTTCGTTTTTGCTGACGGTGGAATGCTTTTGTTTGTTTATAAGTCGACCCCCCCCCCCACTTCAGAGTTTCAAAAATTTAAGAAAGGGTCGACCTGCATTCGCATAAATACGGTAGCTTTTTATCTTTTTCTTTTTTGTTTTGGCTGGTTGAAACAAAAATAAAAGAAGAGCAAATTTTATTTTACAATAGACATAAAAGCAACATTTTTGGGCTCAATCATTGTCACTGCAGTTTACTGAAGCCAACAGAATCTAGGTTCGTTTCCGAGATCTGGAGCTAGTGCTTGTATTCCTGTCAACCCTTTGCCTCCTAGAAAATAATTTCGAACGACAGTGATTTGGAAAATAATAGAATTCAATTTTTAAATTCTTGAATGAATGGGTTTAACCCGATTTTCAGGCAAAAACATGTTTAGGGTGTAAATATCGGGAAATATAGAGTTTTCTCGAAAACAAAGAACTTTAGGTGTACCTAGCTAGTTCGAAGTGAATGGTGATGACTGTGCTAGCATCTTCATGAAAACTTAATTTATTGAAGAAGAGCAACAGACTCTTTTGTCTGTGGAATTATCCTCCTCAGTTATGCCTACAGTTACCATTTTCAAAAGTATGTGGCACAATTACTGAAACTGAAAAAGTCACTTGTGCCACTTCATCTAGGGCTCTATAAACCAAAACAAGGTTTTTGTTTGTCAGTTTTTTTATTCCCTCAGCAAATCCTTCTTCTCAAATATTAGTTGTCAGAATCGTAGTCATTGTCAGAATCGTAGTAAATGTGTATTGGCTAAAAATGAAAACTTGTTTCGCTTCCTCCGGAGGGACCCAAGATATATTCCGTGGCATCGTAGACAGCATGTCTAGCAACCGGGAAAACCGGGAATTGTCAGGGAAATTTTAATTACTGAGAAAAATCAGAGAATTGTCACGGATATTGTCAAAAAGTGAGCCCAGTCAGAGAAAATGAGCCGGAAACGCCATAGAGTGCCCTGAGCAAAAACTTGAGGACTTGGAGGCAGAAAAATATGCAATAAATTCTGCTTAGAGCGGAGCGCGTGCTCTGCTCACGCGATGTAGAGTGTGCTGCCCGATGAAAAGAGAACAGCCGACAAGTCCAGTCCAAGCATTGGATTGAATCGAGGGCACGACACTAGGCTAGATCCAGTCAGAGCTATTAGATTTAGTTAGGGGTTTCGTGAACCAGTCGAGGTTTGAGTTCGACCAGGTTCGACTTTTTCTAACTTCTTGTGAAAAGTTTGACAATGGTTCGACTCAGGTTCGACTGCTCTGCACATGCGCGACAGGCTGGCAGTTCGCTTCGGATTGGATGGTGATGGCAGAGGGATGAATTAAGGGCAGCAGTGATTGGTTATTTCAGTTTATACAGTAGAAAAAAAGAAGTCATTAACTTCTTCGGTGATTAGAATTAGTTTCTTTTAATTCGAACTGTTCATAAAATTAAAATAACCCTTTGCATAAAAAAAAATTCTCCAAACTTAGACATGCTTGTATCAAGGTCCGGCCACACTGTCCACAAAGTCGAGCTGGTTGTATCTGGTTAAAGGTTCTAAGGTTCGTGGAACCGTTTCAAACCAGTCAAACCCCGAAAGTTCAACCTAAAAATCTGGTTTGACAAAAGTGCGCGACACCCCTAGATTTAGTAACAAATGGGAAAGCCGCAGACCCCAATACAATCCAAGCCTTAAGCCGAAAGTATCCGAAAGTGTGCATCTGACGGCTGTGTTGCCATTCGAACGTGTGTGGTTGAGCGTTGGGTTTACATTTTGTTTTCAGAACTGACCTCTTCACTGACGATGTCGGTGTTCCTTTAATCTGGAGCAGATGAACCCGAAAATTTCGGAATGTGCAAGTTGCATTAAGCACGTGCAAAATGATCCTCACAGTGATCTATGCTCAATGCCTTGTGTTGTAATGGTCTTATATAATAAACGGCCTCTACAGCGGTCAGGGAATTTCACCTGAAATTGTCAGGGAAAACCTGGAAAAGTCGGAGAATTTTAAAACAATAATTTGCTAGACACCCTGCGTAGAGCAGCTAGCAAGTACATTCTGTTCTTCCTCCCTCGCAGGGAGCTTTGAAGGCCCCCCGAGCCTGCTGGAAGTGTGTGGCAACTGGTCGGACAGTTCGGGGACCTCTTCTCAGGCCAACAGTCAGGACCAGCTCATGGAGAGGATTGCCGACGCCATGAACGAGTCTCCCTACAAGGAGAGGCAGCCAGTTCGCACACCCAGTGGCGGCGGTGAGATCTCGCACTATTCGCGACTCCAGATCTTTACTTGTCCTCTCGCAGCGAAAACAGGAAGCGCTCTATCTAGTGAGGGTCCCCCGGTTCTGCTCAGTGGGCACGGTGGAACTGCTCATGATCATGGCTCGCGAACAGTCATTTTTTTATGCAAACAACACTCATCACTGTCCCCATGGAAGCTGCAGCCGGTATAAGATTGTACCTCACAATAAAGTTGTAATATTGCATATAGAAGCAAACGCAAGCACTGTGCGCTTGTGTGCTCCACACTGCGTATGTGCGCCGTCGCCATGCTCCGGTTTAAGACCGCAATTTTGGGCTCCTGCAGTGTGGAACACGCAACGCTAACGCAAACACACATTGCTTGCGTTTGCTCAAATGGGCAATACTAAAACCTGCTACTGTTTCATTGGTTTTCCAATGCCAACAAAACATACTGCAGTGAGCGGACGTGCAAGCGGGTAGGCGTTTTTTCGAACTGGAATGGCTGGACATTAGCAAATCGATGACGTATAAAAATTAAAGAAAAAAAATGAAAGCCGTTTACAATTCCCTGTGACGCCGGATTAGAGCGCAGCTCTTAAAAAGGAGGATGGAAGCGTACTGAGGGATAGGTGACTCCTTGATGTCACGTGACCTCAGGGGGGTCACGTGGCCTCAAGGGGTAACGTGGCTCGGGGGGGGGGGGGGGGGGTCACGTGTCCTGGGGGGGGGGGTCACGTGACTTGGGGTGTCACGTGACCTTGGGGGAGTCATGTGACCTCGCAATTACGCCGACGCCGACGCCGCTCAAGCCAGAAACGGGCCCCTAAGAGCTGCACTCTAAAGAATATTCTTAAATATTTGTAAAAAAAGAAATCTGTTTTTGTATTTTTTTTTCTTTTGGGGGGGGGGGGGGGGGGGTGGCATTTAGTTTGTAAAGATTGGCAGTGGAATTTGGAAGCTTCGCCGATTGTCAAAAGTCGCAACTTTGATATACAGTAGAACCTCATTAATTCGAAGTTGGTCGGATAGCAAACTATTTGCAAATTAAGTGGATTTGCGAATTATCCAAAAACAAAAGAAAACCATTGATTGTGCACGAAGCCTTGAATTTCGAAGGAAACATTTTATTCAAAACGAGAAAACATCACCGAAAGTAGTCGGCGATATGGGACTGCCGCTTTCTGTAATTAGTGGCGCCGACCGTCACATTTTCAAGAAGGCTAACTAGGCACGTCATCTCAGAATTACCGCCGTTACATTCCACAAAGCTGCAGACGACCTTCAGCGACTGTATAACTTCCCCTAAAGCGGGGGCCCGAGGCGGCTCATCATTGTCATCAATTTCTGCCATCACATTCAGTGGTTTCGCTCTCGAGGTCCGCGTAGCAACTTTACTCATTCTCTTCCATGTTTAAGTAGTCTGTGAAACTTCTGCGGACAGACTCACCGTCACTGTCCTAAATGCGGGAGCAAAGCTCCTCTCCCTCATCGTCAATCCCAGGGACAATACTGTCACTAGCTAGCATTGGCGGTATCCTCCTGCTCCCTGGCTGGTCGCATGTAAGCGATTTGGCGAGATATGAAACAAGCGAGAACGACCCACTTCATTGTTGCTCGGTCAATCGCGCGACGAGGCGAACCGCATGAAAGCGACTGGAGCGAGCGACCAAGGCAATGAGCAACACGACGGACGACAGTGAGAAATCTCTGTCGCTTGTCGCTCACTCTCGCCGATGTCGCCGTCGCTCGACTCGTCGCTTGCAAAATCGCTTACATGCGGTTCCGTAACGGCCCAAACCACAGCCCAAGAATACCGAGACACCAAGCCCAAAAAAACTAAGGGACTACTAAGTGCATGCACAAGCAAACAGGAAACAAATCAGCGAAGACGTGCGTCATTTTTGGTTTGGCTGCCGAATCTGGATGCCAGCTGGCGCCACCTAGAAACTAAAAATTGAACCTGGAAGACCAAATCGGCAAATTAACCGGGTAGGCACACGCGGAGCGCTCAGATTATCCGGTCATATTTTTATGAGAAGCCACGGGACCATGGAAGTTTTGCGAACTATCCGGGATTCCTAATAAACCGAGGCTGAATTATCGAGACTCTACTGTACAGGCGCCGACCGATTTTTCGGACGCCGATTATTCGGACGTTTTTGCTGAACCGTCACTCACCACATTGAGTTAATGTATAACATTGACCGAAATTTTGGATACCATAAAGCTTATTGCTCGAAATTTTTTACATAATTGGCGTAATTTCCTCAGTTTACAGCGACAAAACAGTCACTGTGATAGCGCCGTGAGCTTAGGCGCTGCCATTTTGGTTGTTTTGATCCTGCCCTCGACACCACGTCCTACGCAATAAACAGGCTGGGTTGAGGCTATAGTCGGGTTTTCCAGTTCTGCTATAGCCAACATGGCCGCCGTCTGCCCATTCTTATGGTTCTTCCAGTTCTTCTCGTAGTCCGTGTTTTTTGAGTGCGACCGCAAGCAGAGCAGCCGTCTGCCGTTCTTGTGGTCTTTAAGTGCAAAGGTGTTTTGCCGATAGGCTTAGTATTGAAGCGAGCTGGGTGGACTAAACATTGTCTCCAGATAGTGCAAAATGGCGCCAACTTCACCTTCGCTGTTTGTGCCTACGAAGGCACCGACAAAGCGCAGCACCTTGATAAAACAGATCAACAAACATGTGAAAAGTGAACTATATAAAGTGGAAGTTGACGAGAAGTTAAAATTGACATCAAGCAAGTGGAAAGTACACAATACGCAGCGGAATATGCGCGGAAATTTGATATTTTGGGGGGGGAAGTTTGAAATCGATTTTTCGGACCGCTTGATTATTTGGACAGTTTCAAGGTACCCTCCGAGTTTAAAAAATCGGTCGGCAACTGCATATGCTTTACCCACTGTTAATGTCATTTTACATGGATTTCTCAGACTAGCTCAAATTTTTTCATTGATTTTATACTATTTTTATTTTATAACCCGTTAATTAAACATCCTGCAGTTGGCACCAGTGATGATAATTTGCCAACTTTAGATTGCCATAGTTGCTGGCACGTTTTAAGTTAGATATCAGCAACAAATTATATTAGAGTTTAAAAAACTACATGTTAAAATATCTTAGTCTTATTATTAATAATGAAAATTGCAGTAATGTAGGCCCCCAATAAACTCTACAGTCACAAACACACACCATTTAACCATAATTGTCTTTACCGAAAGGTCTCATTTTGTTTTCTTTTTGGGATATGAAAACCTCTGACATGGTTATCAAGATAGTCCTAAACCCTGGATGTAATGTCTAGTGCTGTCTGCCATATGTTGCCTTAAAAAACACGCACACTTCTGCCGTCCGCCTCGGATTCCATTTTTGATTGTTTGTAGCGGAGCAGCGTTTCTTAATATGTACGTTTCGTGAACATTTCTGAAACTCATCACCTGTGGCGATATTTCAGGAAATTTGGATTATGTTATTCTTGTGCTGGGAATAATGCCAAAGCAATTAATCATCTAAATGGCCAAACCCATTAAAGGGCCACAGTTCATTATTTCACATGACAGTTATCTAAGTAAAGAAGGCAGCAAGAACACAGATTTATCAGCGCCGACTTTTTCAGTAAATACAATATTCTATGTTATATCTACCGTCTTTAAAGGACCCCTGAAAAGAAAAAATGTGTATTTTTTAAACAACCTGGTTTGGAAACGTGTGTTAAAAAAATTTAAATTAAGTTAAAAAACTATATATTTATTTAGAGCAATATTGACGGCGCGAGACGCAATTTAGTTTGTAGTCACCTTCTTTCCACTTGTTTTCTCTCTTGGCATTTCGGGCTCGTGGAGGAGAGGTGGATCGGCTTTGCCTTCACATTGAGGTGGAAAGAGCGAATGACCGTCTCATTGAGTGAAGACCATTCCGTGACGTCATGGACTTTGCACGCAGAATTTCAAATAAATCTCGCGCCGTCAATATTGGTCTAAAAAACATTTCTTTTTTTGCGTAAAATTTATTTTTTGACACGCGTGTCCCAACCAAACTGTTTAAAAAAACTTTTTTTTTTTTTTTTTCAAGGGCCCTTTGGGGGACATTGAGTTCTCTAATATATTTTGAAGTTTCCACGAACAACTTCTTTAGTTCAATAATTATGCTGTGAGAGGCATTTGAGTTAAGTGAGAGACTGAAATTAACACCTATATCGAGAAATTAAGTCCAAAATAGGCGTTAGTTTTGGTTACATTCCTAAATTAAATTGTGCCTCCTTTTGGAAATTTTACGCTAAACTCCGTTTTTGTTTTCTCGATAAAGAGGCTACCTCCGTGCGTAACACCTTAGCTTCCTCGTATGAGTGGGAATAATTTGAGGTGCTCAGCGAAGCCAGCACACTTTGCAGCCTCAGCAACTGGTGTACCCCCAGCCCACATCTCCGACCCTCATTATAACCAACATTTTGGAAAATGAGTGGCGCCACCTATAGACAGTTGGAGTCGTGAATACAGCCTTTCACCTTGGAACGGACCCAGTGAATCCACCGCCGTAAACATATCACGTGACTACGTCCCCCAGTCTTTGCTGCGCTCCTCCCGTAGCTCGCATGACACTTTCGCAGCGTTTGGTTGGCTCCGACAGCTCGAAGCATCCGCCGTGGTCCCTTGTAAGGTAAAATGATAATGCCTGCTTATTGCAGTTGTGGTAAGAAGGGCACTGAGTATAACTCAGGTTCCGTGTTTCCGAATAAATATAAAAAACGCTCGAGAAAAACTCCCATTTGTGAAATTTTCGTCAATTTGAATTTGGAGTAGATTTCAATGCAAAAGAAAAAGAAAAGACGACGACTATATGCTACAATTAAGTTTGGTCGTCGCACGGGCAGAATGGTCCTAAAAAGATGCCGCCCCAGTTTTCTTTTAAATCTGGGATGAACGACAAAAGGGGTCTGGCCTTAGTCTTACCGCTCATCTGATCAAGCTTCATTCAGGACTCCTGTGCCACCACAAAAGCCGTTATTTTGGTTTTCTGATTGGACCACACTGTTAGTGCTTAGAGGAAGTAGAGGTTGTGCTTTGTAACTATGAAAGCTATGAACCGTAAAGATTTCATAAACAGAGGAAGGAGGACAGAAGGGGTGCAGTTGAGACTTCTATGTTACACCTTTTACCACTCCACCCTGTGCATCCGTGGGATAAGGTGATGGAATAGGATAAGATGAAAACGAGCTTCCCAGCGACCACGTCATGGAGCTTCGTGGTTTTAAGGTATCGACGATTATTAGAGCAACACTTGTTTGCAAGTTTTGGCATGGGACAGATTAGTCTTGCCAATGGCGAGAGCATCAATGCCAAGTCCAACTGAATAAATATTACTTGATACAAACACATTTTTTTTTTTTAATTTAGCACACAGTTACCTCCAAATATATATATATTTTTTTTTGAAAAATAAAAGAAACACTTTGAATTTAAACTTAGAATTTTGGAGAACTAGATATCTAGAAAATTAAACTGTGATAAACTGAATTTTCTGCAAAAAATAAACTCCAAAAAGCACCCTCTCAATTTGACGAAAAATGAACTCTGAAAGCATAGAACTCTATGTATATCTCAGTTCCTGGAAATAATACAGGACTGTTATTGAAATAACACAAGCTGAAAAAGTTTTCCCTTTCTTGTTTTTCTAAGGGGTGAAATAATTACAGTAGGGTGATGACTACATTTTTTCTAGTGGTAATTGTTTTCAATTAATCATTTGCATCGTAGTTATGCCGGGTGTTTAAAAATGCAGACAAAATGCGTCTTGCAAAAACTGCATATTGCACAGGAAAAGGATTGATGCAGTACTGGTCATGCCATAGGGCTTATTTCAAGGAGGTACACACAGCGACACTGTTAGCGCGAACACGGCATCGGCACATTTTCGCATTGTACTTCTATTACCGTCCCATTTTTATCGTCCCATTTCTCTCATTATCTCATTATCTCATTATCGTCCCATTTCCCTCACGTGTGCATGTTGCAAACTACTAGAGCACATTGTTTCAAAGGAGTTGTTTAAGTTTTTAGAACATTCGAATATCTTTCTTTCGAACCAGCATGGATTTCGAAAATCCCTCTCCACTGTGACCCAGCTTACAGAAACATTGCATGACTTCGCCACGTCTATGAACAACAGAGGGCAGATCGATGCCTTATGCCTAGACCTATCGAAAACTTTCGACCGAGTACCCCATCCTGAACTTATAAATAAATTACTGAAACTGGGTATAAACCATAAAGTTATCCTGTGGATCAAGGCCTACCTTACAAATAGAAAACAATTTGTAGAAATAAGTAAAACAAACTCTTGTTATGTCCGCGTTCCCTCGGGCGTTCCGCAGGGATCCGTTTTGGGACCTGTTTTATTCTTGTGCTATATAAACGATATAGTGGAAAATATAGGACCCTCTATTGCGGTGCGCCTGTTTGCAGATGACTGCTTGTTGTATTCAGTTATCTCTTGCCACGATGATCAGGACCGGCTTAATTCGGCACTGCAGACAGTAGAAAAATGGTGTAAGGAGTCAAAAATGAAAATTAACTTAACTAAAACTATACATTGTACTATAACTAACAAAAAACAAAATATTCTACCATTCGTATACAAGCTTGGAAACGAACCTTTAGTACAGGTGAATGAGTTTAAATATCTTGGCCTTACCATATCATCAAACTTAAGCTGGAAAACTCACGTTGACAATGTGTGCTCAGCTGCTAGGAAAAAACTCTGGTATCTCAAGCGCAATCTCAAGCTCGCTCCCCCTGAGACAAGACTAACTGCATATAAAGCACTAATACGGCCTACTCTAGAGTACGCTTCTATAATTTGGGATCCTTTTAGAGCCTATCAGATAAATAAACTAGAAAAAATACAAAGGATGGCAGCCAGATTTATATTGTCGAGATATCAGAGAACAGAATCAGTACAGGAAATGCTTAACTATCTCAACCTTCCAACGCTCTGTGACCGTAGAAAAATAGCACGCCTTAAATTCTTTTATATGCTACAAAATGGCCAATTTAATTTTAATACGGACCCTTACATAGTTGCTCGGCAGATCAGGCCTCTCAGAGGCATCCACTTAAACCACTACCAAATAGATACGGCAAATATTGATGCATATAAATACTCCTTTTTTCCAAGAACGATAACTGATTGGAACAGCCTACCACAAGAATTAACAACAGCAAATACACTAACCTTGTTTGAAAAAAGCATTTTGAACCTTTTTCAATGATATCTATCGAATCCTTAGTATTTCCTATTCACGTATAATCATGAGAAAATTGTGATGTTATAGTGTGATGTCTTTGCTTCGTCGCTGTTTGACGATTTATAAATTCAATGTCAAGTGCTATTTTTGTATGTTTGAATTGTTGTTGATACAGTGTCCTTGTTTCTTTTTGTATTTGGTCATATGTATTCTCGTGCCTTGTGCACCCCTGTAACAACCCTAACGGGTTAACAGTATACCTAAATAAAATAAAATAAAAAAAATAGTATTAGCGAGCACGAAATTTTATTACTTACATTGAAGAACTAAATAAGCTCTTTCCGTAGCAATAATAACCTGGATCACATGCCTTTGTTTCGAAGAGGAAAACTGGAAACACCAGCGATCGCTTGTCCGCGCTAACATTGTCGCGCCCTGTACATAGCAGCTGAGAGAATCAAGTGATATTTACTCTCTCGGCTTCATTGACATCCGCTAACTAAGTCACTTTTAAGGTGCATGCACCGTGAATGCCATCACTAAGAGCCTGTGTTGTGTAGTGTCTAAAAGCTTTACCATTCATGTCACTTTGAATCTTATTCAAGATATGTTTGAGTGCATAAAACTTGCTATTTTTACATGTCACAGGATGATGAAGTATACAATGGCACTTTGAGGTCTTATATTAACAACTTTCCCTTCGTCTCCTTTATTCAGCCTCTATGCAAAGACGAGAGTGGAGGCATGCCCTGTGCTGCTGTTTACAAATGTTTTTAAGTAACTTGTTACATAACGTATTATAATGTTGATTAAAGACATTACTAGATCAGAGTCATCTGACAAGCTTCCTATAACGCCTAGCTCTCTTCCGTGACGTCTGCTTTGTGGCGCTCGCTTTGCTGGAACATTGAATGCACATTGCCTGTGATGGAAAGTAATTATATTGTGGTTTTTACGGTGAACATAAAGCTTGCGCAAAAAGGGCGACACTCGAAAACGGTCCGTCTTGGTCGCCCGTAGTAGTGGTGCCGTCCGTGGCGCCGGGATCATTATACTCCCGTACATGTTCGCGTGTAGGCAAATGAAGAAAGACAGTTTTTAAACTACACTCTTCCGTAGAGCTTGTCAACTGATAGATCTAGGAACATTAGATTAAAATGTCTACCATAATATTGCCACTCACAGGGCTGAGCAAGCAACGGCCAGTCACGGGCTAGTAGGATGTTCCTCTTTATTCTTACATGGGTCGTAACATTTATCATTTCGTCGTACTTTCTTGTTCTCGAAAGTGCCCGTTCATTCTCACCTCGAACGCTCGACGCTCGAAGGCCGAATTTTCATGTCGCCGACTCGCACTAGATAAATAGCTGCGCGAGACCTTGTCGAGTCAGTCTTGCTCTTGTTGTTACGCTGCCAAATCGCCGCCCGCTTTTCTGCTGTCTCGATGCTCATTCTTTATTTTGTTTGGCACAAGCTCGCCCCCATTAAACTTTCAATTCGAGACAAGATTTTCGCTGCTTCTGCTCCTGTCATTCGTGGCAATATCCCGAGAGATGCCCCACCCCTATTTTTGAGACGATTTTCTACTGCAAAAACACCGAAAGATAACTTATTTCTAGTAATTTGCAAGGCCCTGGCCGATAGTGACCTTGGCAGAAATGGTGTTACTTATCTACGGCGGGGGACAAGCGAACATTGCCGATTTGAAAGGACAGTCGTCTTTGCTTTGTCGTCCCTAGCTGCGATCACAAGTTTCATGGGCCACAAAATCTAAAACTAGCTTTTTGCCAACACTTCTTTGATCGCACACTGAAAGTTACCCACTTCTCATTTTCACCCTAGTTGCTCTCAATTTTTAGGTGGGCTGTCTCTCGTGGTATTATCGAACTGTCCTGCAGTGCACGTGGAGCCAGTCACCAACAGTTACGCAAACAAAGAGACATACAACACTTGTATTTCACAATGGTAAACTCTGTTGGGGGCCTAATCAGTAATTTTCTTCTTCAGTATCTGATAAAAGTAAAATAAATGAAGATCTATCTTTTCTTATCAGATATTGAAATGGAAGATTACTAACTAAAACATTCAATAGTCTAGTCCAGCATAGCTCACTGTTTTGAGCCTACCTGTTATTTAGTGTTGCTGATATTTAAATTTTCAAACAGTAGTTTTTTGGGGTATATTAGATAAAGTTTCCTGGAATTAGCAAAAGGAAACATTTGCATCAGGTGTGGAGGAGAGTTTTTGACAGGCCAAGGGGGATGATGAATCGGTCTGTCTTTCCCTGTTGCAGAGTTGACTTGCTTCGAGGATGCAGGGTCCCGGTGCAACTCCGACGTGTCTCTCTACCACTCGCCAAGCCAGAGCACGGAGCACCTCCTGGTGTTCTCCTCCAACCAACAGGACTCTATGTAGTTCATTGGTGAGGCTCTCGTCTACATAGTATGGAATTTTTTTTTTTTTTTTTTTTTACTCAAGTTACTGGCATGGAGTTTGAATTATAGGGTGTCGTTTGCCCAGCTTGTTTTTTATGGGGCTTGATGTTTACCCAATGGAAGGCTTGTGGCTTGTGGACTGGATTCTTTATGTCGTCTTCCCTTATCGTGCGTGGGGTGCACATTGGACCTGAGTGGTGCATAAGCCTACAGCTGGGGTTTGCGTTCCATTGGGGCTTTGCTCATCGAACACGAGCTCCAGCCGAATGCTGATGCAGCGTTCGGCTATACACGTTTGCAAGTCCGGTCTTAGGGTGCCGCCATCTTCCTCAGTGGGGTGCGCTCAAGGGAACGGCCATAATCCGATTACGACGCCTTAGCAAGGCTTCGTAATCGGATTATGACTGGTCCAAGCGCACCCCAGACAGGCAAGATGGCAGCGCCCTGAAGCCGGACTTGCAAACGTGTATATGAGTTGAATGCTGTGTCAAAAATGCAAAGAAAGAGCTCATGTCATCATTGTCCCCTTCGGTTTAGTTCTGAGTTTAGCTGCTAGGGTTCGCGATGGTTGAATTTTCTTCCCAATAGAAATATCTGCCAATGCATTGCTTTCTTTTTTTTGGAGGGGAGGGGGGGGAGGGAGGGCTAGTGTTCAATTTTAGGGAGTACTACAGTTGAGGGCCCAGATCTACGAAAAAAGAATGTGTTTACTTTAGGGCAACAGATGCTCCTACATACTTTCACTAAAACTGCAGTTCAATTTTACTATTGAAAGGGAAATAGGTTGTATGTAGAACCTCGTTAATGCGTTCCTCAGGGGACCGCGGGAAAACAATGTATAATCCGGGAAAACGTTAAAAACGAGAAGGTCCTCAGGGTCTGGGAGCTCGGCAAGACCGGCGGTTTTTAATGTAAAAGCCGGGAAAATGTAAAAAACCGGGAACGTATCAATGAGGTTCTACTGTAATGTGTTTTAAAACCAAGCTAGATTCTTTTTGAAGGGCACGTGCAGCCATAAACCGTCCGAAAGCAGTGCTTTTCCTTTCGTATATATTTAAATTCAGCCCATATAGGGTATATTCTCTACGTTTATATGCATGCTTCAGAGGCTGTAAGATAAGCATCTGACAGGTGCTTTTTTCCGGAACGAAAAAGAAGGTCCACGAGGCACTTTCTTTCGGCATCTTCTCGGCATTTCGTGGGACACAGGCAGACCCACGCTTCTAATTAGGAGTGCAGACCCACAAAACGAGTTAGCACAGTCGAATGCCGCTACAGCAAATGCCCCTTAAACAATATTTCTGCAACAACAAAGTAATTTTAATTCCCCGTTTGTTGTCCATGGAAGAAAGCGTAGAAAAAGTCTCTCCAGAACAAACAACTTTCTGATTTCCACTTCTCTTCAATGAAGTTTCTGTGACAGAAAACTAAACTCGATCATCAAATTTGTAAACTAAGGAAACACGAAATAATCTTTCCTTTTGATATCACAGGTCGCAATGTCGCCAAATAGCCAAAGAAAGCACAGGTGCCATGCAAACTGCTGCTCGGAGTCTCGAAACATCAGAAACATAAACACCGTTTGATGGTGATGATGATGTACTATCGGGGAAAAATGAAATGCGAACAGAGGAGCGCGTGGCTCGCGGTACAGGCTGCGCCGCCTGGAAGTGAGCCTAGGGGCGAGGGTGCGTGGCCTACTTCGATGTGTTCACGCCCCTCGACTGGCGCTCCCTCAGCTTCGGCAGTGCTCCTCTCAGTGCGCTGAAAGCTGTCACCGCTATCTTTGCGTGCTAGGCGAGTGCGGCGAGCTTCTTCGCACCGCACGCGCTGAGCCAGCAAAAATAGCAGTGATAGCTTTCAGCGCACCAAGAGGCGCACTGCTGAAGCTTGGGGAGCGCAGAGGGAGGGGCGTGAAGACGTCGGAGTAGGCCACGCAGCCTCGCTCCTAGGCTCACTTCCAGGCGGCACAGCATGTACCGCGAGCCACGCGCTCCTCTGTTCGCATTTCATTTTTCCCCGATAGTACAGGTGCATTCTTAAAAGTTCTATTAGGATAATAATGTTTGGTTATATAACAAATTTATGCAGTTTTTTTAAGGGCATTATGTTCAAACATACATGTTTTTGAAGTGGTTCTAGCTTCTTATATTGCGATTCATAATATTGCTAATTATTTTGTAAATTATTTTGTTAACACCTTGAATTCTGCCAGCTGAACACGATCCACATACTGTGAGGCCGTATCAAAAGAAGAGATGTGCGTTTACGACAAATTTTTTTTATAAAATTTTGCAGTCACATTTTTAAACTTCATGTTTCTCGCCATTTATCTCTTCATTTTGGTTGGGTGTTCTTACGAAATTTCACAGTAATTAAAACAATAATTAATGTATTTTAGCTAATTATTTAGCTTATTTGTGTATATTTTGCAGTCCCTGATATCTGCCGTGGCTAGAACCACCTTATTGGTAGGAATTTTTAAAAATATTTGCAGAAACTCCAGATACAGTCAAACCTCGATGTAACAAAGTCGGTTAAATTTGGAATTTACTTTGTTACGTCGAAATTTCGCTTCACAGAAATTCGGGGCTAACGTTGAAGAAAGTTCCCACAAATGTTTCTCGGGCGCACAAAAATCACCGAGGACGCCTTTATTTCAGTTAAAAGTAGTTCGTCACCTTTATCTGGGCCACTCTTGGCATTATTATTGGCATCACGCGACGTTCGCATAGCCAGACGGCCTGCATCACGTCTTTGTCTGGCTGTGTGCTCGCGAACCGCCTCAAGACATCGATCGCGTCCATCACTTCACGGTTTCTGGGCACATCGCAGGTGTCTTGCTCATCAGGCTCGATGTCGTCCCCGTCTTAGAGTTCCCACGACCATAGCTAGCTATCGCCTCATTGGTCATTTCCTCCGTTGCAATGGCAGCAGCGTCAGCTTATAGAAACATTGAAGACTTAAACAACGAAGTTCCACTTGATAAAGTGGGTATCGGCCACACAGCCGAACAGGTGCTAAAGCACTCCAAAGTCAATCCTAAAGATGCATTTGCGTTCAAGGCAAGCAGTTTCTTGTCACATTGACGGAGAAGATCCTTGAGAAGAGTCCCCATAGATTCCCCTGGGTAGAGGCCTCTCATCACTGGACCCCCGGCAGATGTGCGCCAAGCCAGACCAGTGCTTAGCAAGGCTCAAGAAGGTTTTGGATGCCCTCATCACTGTAACGAGATTCACCGATCACCAGTGAAACTCTGTACTTGCTGAGTACGCCGAGCTCCTGCAAGAACAGAAGCGCAAGCTGCACTGTTTGAAAAGAGTTGACAGACTAGACGAGTTTTTCTCAGAACTCGTGAAGTTTAGTACGCCCTGCACCAAACTGTTGGAGGTGTTTAAACTTCTGCTTGTGCTTAACCATGGCCATGCAGCTGTGGAAAGGGGTTTCAGTGTGAACCATAAATGTCTGTGGAGAACCTGAAAGACCTATCGTATGTCTCGCAACATATTATATGCGATGTGGCTGACAAGGCAGGCAGTATTCTAAACGTTCCAATAATAAGGCAGTTGAGGACCTGTGTGTAAGCTGCAAGGCTGCTGCCTTGACGCAGCCTCCGAATAACACTCAAAACTGTGTAATCATGGAATTGGTCGAGATTACCTATCACTAAGGAGGTTGAGGAACACCGTTCCCATGATTCCTCGAGTGCGGGCCAGGGCGCTTGGGGGATTTAGCAAATGGTCTTTTGATGCTAAGAAAGGGTTGCACGTTAGTGGGAAGGTGAAGAGGCATTGTCATGTAGTTGGACAGGCCAACACATGAATTTTAACATAATATTCATAGTGGTATGAATGTGAGTGAAGTGTGTGCTCATGCTGCAAAAGTTCTTGCTGGTCCAAAAAGTACTTTTGGCTGCTCCAAAATGCGTCTGACCATTCACATCACTGTTTTTCTTGCTTTCCGTTTATTGTTATGTTTTCAGCGTGCTCTAATTCGCCAGATCGAAAGCTTTTTTTTCAACAATTACTATTGATCCAAAGATTGTATAAAGTACATCAATATTTTAATCATAATTAAAAAATTCTCAGAATTTACAAGCTAAAATGTTTTTCATATTATATCTAACTTGTCACTTACCATTTGTGCACAGGAGACTTCACTAAAAAGTAGAAGCTTGCCAGTCTCACCAAATGAATCCTCGATGCTTAAAGCATAAACCTTGCAGTCACCCCTCACACTTCTTCTTTCAGATGTGCAAGAAGGGACTACTTGGGTATGTGCAGTCAGGCCCAGAGGCAACCACGAGTAAGGAAGTGTTGGATACGGTACCCAAACGATTACCTGCACCTGTCCGGATTTGTCGGGACCAGCGGCGTGTTCCCTGAAGAGAGAGGCCGGCCAACTTGCCTGCATATCTTGATCAGGGACGGTGCAAGCAGCTTCCCATCGAAGCGTCTCGATCCTTCCATCCAGTCAATCACTTCCTCTGGTTAGCTTGTAATGCGTCTGGCCATAACAGCTGAGCTTCGACACCCCCAAGACGGCTACTGCTCAACTGCCTGTTACAAGAGTGTCAACCTTGTTATGCTTGTTTTTGTACAAAAATTATATATTCATTTCTGAAAGATGATATTGACGAAGGTCGTGTTTAATGTCGTTTGCTTCCTTAGTTGTGGGAAAGGGGGGGGGAGTACAAGGGGTACTGTGGCTACATATGGGATCCAGTGATGTAGCCTGCTCTACAAACATGTGGCAAATTGGTCATTTAGTGACATAACACCTACTATATAGCACTGTACATGATGTCATGCATTTTATGAAAAGCAATAAAAATTCTGAACACTTTATCTAAATTATGCGGCAGGTCTCGTGCCTTTTCAATGGTGCCGAGTGAAGCTCTATGCGGCATTGCTGTCAGTCTGAAACTTTGCCTGGGGTCCACAGACTTTTTGGAATGCCCAGGGGAGGAGTTCTCAAAGTTTTCTATATCAAGGAACATCTGTTTCTCTTGACTGATATCTCAGGAACTTCTCCTGGTTTTAGAATTGATACAGTAAAGCAGTGCAGGAGCTTGCATACCTTGTCAATAATGTGAATTCTAGACAGTGTTTGGCACATGGGTATGCATCAGTGAATGGCTAAGATCTGCTATAATAATGCTTAAACTGAAAAAGACTTCTAAGCAGGGATGATCAAGAAAGTTTGGGTGTTCTGAGCATATCCAGGTACTCTGAGAAGTCCTTGAGTTCCCAGAAATGCAGTTTGAGGACCCATGCTCAAGGGTGCTCTTTGGGTTCACAATCTGAATAGGGGGTTGTTGCACCACATGCCATTGAATACATCGCAGCTGGAATTGCTGAGCTTAGGTATTACTCTTATTACCACACAAGCTGTATTTGAATGAAAAACAACCATGCGAAATGAAAAACAGCCACGCTGTTTTTCATTTCGATGAATTGGGAATGTGCGACCTGTTAGCCAGCTGCGGCAGAGTGGAATATTTTCACCTCTGCAGCCATAATCCAACATGCCATACACTAAAGTGTATGCTGTCCTCACCTGGGTATTTAACCAAAATTTTTATTTGTTTCGAGTGTTTTTATTTTATGTTCAGCATCAACTTGACAAAAAAGGAAGGTTCAAATGTATTTGGACTGCTAATGTTCAGATGTGCTCTGACAAGTTGGCATTCTGACAGGGCGTGACTGTTAGCACAAAGAAGCCATCACTTTTTTTTTATGTCGCAGCTGGAATGTTGTTACTGATACTACTCCTGTGCTCAAATGTTGTCATCTAGGGCACCAGCTTTGGCGAATACTCTGAGTAAACTCTGAAATGAAAAAAATCCCGATGCCAAGCTTTTCCTAACTGTCACTGGTGTACAGCTGCAACGGAAAAAGAATAGCACAAGTGACCGATAACCGGAGTGGAAAAATGGCGAAACGCGGCGCTATTGTTCCCGAGCGCTCCGATAACGAGAGTGCCAGTCACGTTCCATATCTCAACGCGGGGGTGGCCGGCAGAAAATTGACGGATAAGATAGCTTTCAAAATACGGGTTTTCGGATAGGCTGCTTTCTGTGGGCCACCCCTGCGTTGGCCGACATGGAACGTGACTGGCAATCTCGCTATCGGCAAGCTCGGGAACAAGAGCGCCTCGCGCCGTGATTTTGCCGTTCCGGTCGTCAGTCACTTGTGCTACTCTTTTTCCGTTGCAGCTGTACTTCCTGATGCCACACGCATACTCTTTTTACCTCCCCCATGGCTGCACTTGGCATGGGTTCTTCTGCCAAGAATAGTTTAATGAACATTCAAACTGACATGAGTTTTGGTGGGAGGCACTCACTTGATCGAATGACGTTTTAGCGAACGCCCACGTTTCATCGAATGACACTTTAGCGAATAGTCGGACGCCGCGAAGCGGCGTGTTCGGGTGGGCCAAGTGAGTTCATATTTTTGTAATGAGTTGCCGCAGACTGTCGCCGCGAAGCGGCGTAAAGCGCAGCGCGACGGATGGGTTAACGCGCGCCCCCGTTATTCGCTAAAATGACCATTCGCTCAAATGTCGCCGTTCGCTAAAACGTCATTCGCTCTTGTGATATGGACCCAGTTTTGAGTTTTGGTATATGTGGGCAATGCTAACAAAACATTTGCATTTGCATATACAGAAATCATGGTAAATAATTTCTGCTGTTGGCAGATTATTTTTTTTAAATATATTTATGTGTTGGTAGAATTTGTGTAGTTAATAACATTTATTTCTAATTAAGCCGGTGCTTATACAGCTCGCTGAAACCGTATTATCATGGTCTTAGGTTGCTGCCTTTTTTATGGGAAACCCAATAGCCTCTCTCTTTTTTTTGCTATTTTTGTTTTAGCACTGCTTTTAAATATTTGAATGGCTGGGTGACTTTCTATGTTTTGGTTTTATGGAGTTCCAAATTTTCCTAGTTTTTTTGTTGCCTGTCTTGACATTCAAAGTTTTGGCCCTTCATCTTTTAAAGTTTGTGGATTTAAATGCCAGCCCAAGGGGCTCCATCATGAAAGAAAAAGTACCTGCCGGCTCCTTGGCATGTCTGGCAAAACTTTTCAAATGAACTGAGGTGGTAGCCGTAGTGCCGCACACTCACACTGGCTACACAGAATCATTCTCCACTGTCACTCAAAATTTGTAAAATGTACAACGATTACATTGTTCTTGGGTTGCCAAAGGCATGGTAGCGCTTTTTTGGACGAGGACAAAAGAAAGAAAGACAAGACAGACACGAGCGCTCGTGTCTGTCTTGTCTTTCTTTCTTTTGTCCTCGTCCAAAAAAGCGCTACCATGCCTTTGGCAACCCAAGACCAATACCAACTAGCCCAACATACAGCTTTGATTACATTGTCACGAGATGTGACGATTTCTTGGCGGCGAAATTGACGTGGAACATGGGGTCGCGTGACATTGACGCCACAAGACACTGCGGCGTCAGATGGTCATGAGTTAGTGTCACGTGACGTCATGAAATTGGCAGCAACCTTCAGCTTCAAAGTGCTATTTTGCATGAAATGCATTACGGGGAATTCTTGTGTCACGTGAGTGACGCGACGTATATTTTCCTGCTAAATTTAACGTGGAAACTGAATGGTTGTATAGGTCACAAGGCTCCGATTTCCCCGACTAAATTTAGCGGGAAAACTGGATTGGTATCTAGGTCACAAAACCTGAATTTTCCCGCTAAATTTAGCGGGTAACTGAATTGGTGTATACACCAACTCAACTCTCCTACGTCACGCCGCGGTGGTGGCGCGCCGGACGCACTTCCGGTCTGGGGCGGTGGGCAGAAGTCGCCGTGCCAGACATGCATTCCTGTGTTCCTTTGGAAGAAACGAGACAAAAAACCTGCCTTCTCGTCAAAATGCTGCGATGGGGGCTTTACCAAGAGAGTCTGGAAAGGTTTGAAGATCAGTTTTCATGTGTTTTTGCACCCTCCGTTCGTCCGAGAACGTGGATAGCAGCCGTGAAAAGGGCAAACCAGACGCTATCGAACTACGATTGCGAGTGCGGGCCACAATTTGTGGTCGCCAGATGTATTTGCTTTGTTCCAACATGAACGAGAGAAAACCCCGAAGTTGTCCGGACCACCCACGGATTCAGTGCGTCTGCAAATTCACACGGCCGCCTGATCGTTCGAACTTTCGTCTGCTCTTTCAAACTTGTCTGCTTTTTGTCGTCTGCTCGTTCAAACAAAAGTGGCCCGTAGACCAAACTTTGACTCGGTGATTGCAATAAGAAGTAATTGCAGGCCTCAAAAGACTTAAGTAGGCTCGGTGTAAACAGTAGATACAACATGTTAATTATTGGTACCGGTGGCCATCGCCTACTTGTTACGCTTGGTCTGTTCCCGCTTCCGATTTTCAGTATCGACGTCGATCATCGCCGCTACCTTTTACACTTTTGCAGCACGAGCGACGTCGCGACCGAAAATAGCTACAAGAATCTCATCATGGTTTTGGCGTCCATTCTGCAGCGTTCATGCGAATGAATCGCCGCACGTCAAATTATTTACGGAAAGTTTAGCGGCGTAACGAGCCAATTGATAATTTCGCTCAGGCGATTGAAGTGGTAAGACATTGCGATGAGGACGTAGAATCGACAACTCCAACGCGAAAAAGAGTATGCAGACTCACACAGACGCCGACAACGTGACATTCGAATGGTTTGTTGACGCGGGACGCGGTGCTTCTTGCCCGTACTCCATTGCGCGTGCGTTCGAACTGTCGTCTGCTCTTTCAAACTTGGCTGCTTTTTGTTGTCAGTTCGTTCAAACGACAGCGGCCCGTAAACCAAACGTTGACCCGACAATTGCGATAAGTACTAAGTGCAGGCCTCAAAACACTTTTGAAGGTTGGCAGGGGTAAATCGGCTATAAGTGTAAACAGATACAAGAAGTTGTTGATCATTGTTACCAGTGGCCATCACCGACTTGTAATGCCCGATTCTACTTGCGGTTTTCAGTATCGACGTCCACCATCTCAGCTACGGTCCACGCTTTTGCAGTCCGAGCGACGTCGCGACTGAAAATAGCGAGCAGAATCTCATCGTGGGAGTCAGGCTTTAGCGCCCATTCTGCGGCGTCCACGTGAAATGAATCTCCGCATGTCACATTATTCACGCAAAGTTTTGCCTCGATAGTTTTGCTGAAGCCGCTCAAGTAGTCAGACATTGTTAGGAGGACGTAGAATCAACAATTCCAACGCGAAAAAGAGCACGGGGACTCCCACCGACGCCGACAACAACGCAATTCAATGGTTTGTTTATGGGCGAAGGCGGGCTTCTTGCCCACCATCCACCGCGCATGCGCGGCGCCGGTGGCGTCCGCTAGGGGCGCTCCGGTTTGTTTGTAAACATGAGTTGGTGTATAGGTTACGTGAAGTCAATTTCCCGCTAAATTTAGGGGGGAAACAACTGACGTTTTGGCCGCAAGACGAACTTTTTCACTAAGTTTAGTGAAGAAACAGTTGACGTATGGGCCACGTGCCGTCAATTTCCTCAAGGTGTATTGGTCACATCATGCCGCTTTCTCGCCAAATTTAGCGGGGAAACTTAATTGGTAAATAGGTGAGGTGACATCAATTTATCCGCTAAATTTAGCGGGGAAAAAATTGTTTGTATGTCTTATGACGTCAGGTCACGTGACATCAATTTTCCCGCTAAATTTAGCGAAGCAACTGAACTTGGGTCACGTGACGTCGTTTCCTCTAAATTTAGCGGGGCAAACTCATTTAGAAGGCAAACTCCCCGCTAAAATGCATAGACGGACAAAATTGTGGTATTAGGGCTTACATTAAAAAGTATTTCATGCTTTGAAACAGGG